AGAGTTTATGTTGTAAAGGGATAGAAAATGAACATATTTAATTTCTCTGTATATAACTGTATATGTTAACTATATCTATATACACACACACAAATATATACATATATACATACACACACACAGACACACACAGACACACACAGACACACACACATATATCTTGTTATCTGAGTGATGCAGTGGATAGAGTGCTGGGCCTGAAGTCAGGAGGACCTGAGTTCAAATTCAGCCTTAGACACCTATCCGTTCTGTGATCCGAGGCAAGTTAACTAATCTTTGTCTGCCTCAGTTTCCTCATCTGTAAAAATAATAGCACCTACCTCCCTGGGTTGTGAAAAATAAATGAGATAATAATTGTAAAGGGCTTAGCACAGTGCCTTGAATGTAATAAGAGCTCTAAAAATGTTAGCTATCATTATTATTATTATTAGCACATTACCTGACACATCACACGGTAGGTGCTTAATAAATGCTTATTCTCTCCCAATTAAAATGGAAACTCCTTTCAAGTAGGGATTGTTTCACTGTAAAATATTTGTTGATTGATGAATACATAGGGATATGCAAAGCTGACACAAAGTAACCTTGGAGGGTACATCATTAACAGCTGAGGGGATCAGAAAAGCCTCAGAAGATGGCGCTAGAAGTGAGTGTTTTGGCCATGAGGATTAATGAAGGAATATAAAACTCTTGGAGATCAATGAAAGGACACAAAGTCAAAGCAGTGAGGTTCAATAGATGAGTTGTGGAAGGAATGTTTGGAATATTCTGAGAAAAGGATAAAATATTTTAAAATAATTGATTACAATGAGTTAAACAGGCCTTTCTCTATCGTTCTTCCTGAAGGTGGCAAAGGCTTCCCTCGGGGAAACCAGTTTCCCATGGTCCCTTCAGGACAGTAATATGTAGTCTACCCATCGCCATCTGCAATAATATCAAGTCCTCTAAAAACATAACAAAATAAGAAAGCCTAAAACCCTCATTCAACTGTAATTAAAATTACTCAGACTTGACACTATAATTCATTTCTGTTTCTCCAAAAACCCTGGTGACACAACAGAACACGTATTTTCAAAAACACTTGCTTTATCTTTGAAGTTTTCCCTACTTAGTACCTCTTTAGAGAAAAGACTCAAAGCCAAATTAGTAAGTGACTCCTTCACACCTAAAATGTTGTTAATGAAAGAGCTATAGGTGGTAGTAAAAAGTAACAGATTATTAACTATCATCGGGGCTGAAATGAGGGCATGTACATCAAAATTTTTTTTGCTCCTTTCTAGAGATTCCACTTAGGAATTGCTCTATGTATGTCAAGGTGCCATCTGTGGATAGTACAACATGATGAGCTAGAAAAGGAACAAAGATGTATCTCGTTCTAGGTGCATAGAAAAGTAAGTGATCCAGGGAGACTGGGGGTTAGTGAAGTGTACAGAAGAATGTCTGAAAATGAAATCTGAAATAGAAAGGGTTTCCTACATTATTTATTTCGCTTTCCTTCCTTTTATTTTACTTTGCTGCACCACGAACCAAACCGAAGGCTTGTTTTGTTTTGCAAAAGGTGCTTAAAGAAACTGTTAGATAGAGAACTGAAACTGTCTTCCAAAATGATTGAAATTGGAACATCAAAATATTCTCCAAATGGAACTTGGACCAGTATTTCATTGCACTGGAGTCCCTAATTAGGCCACAAGAGAATGCAACCTGAAACCTTGACCTCACCTTGGCCTTGTTAGCAACATGTTCTAACCAACTGATTTAACACGTTCAGACAGCCAGTAATGTACTAGGTGTTGTACAAATGTAAAATTAAGATACAACCCTGCCTGGTGGTTTTAGCATCTATGTTCACCAGACAAAATTCAAAAGCATGGGAAAAGGTGATAACTCAACTATCTGGGTTCAGAGAAAAATGAGAACAGCATAATAGAAGAATGTCAAAAATAGCCCTCAGTGATGACACTAAGTCCCCCCAAAACAGAAAAGGGTTAAGTAGTGGGCAATCCTTTCCCTTTTCTGGGCCTTAGTTTCCTCATCTACAAAATAGAATCACAGAATTTGAGAGCTGAAAGGGTCCTCAGCAACCACCTAGCTCCAGCTATTCACAAAAGGAATCCCCACTGTAACATACCGGACAAGTGGTCAGTCTCCTCTGCTTGCAGACCTCCAAGGAGGGAGAACCCATCACCTCTTGAGGTGGCCCATTCCACTTTTGGACAGCTCCAACTGGTAGAAAGCTTTTTCCTGATTCTGACCTCTGGGGCCAAACAGAACAAACCTAATCCCTTCTCCACATGACAGCCTTTCAAATACTTGAAGGCAGATATCAAGTCTTCTCTGCTTCGTGCCAAATACCCCCAGTTCTTTAAACAAATCCTCATAAGATAGGAAGTCAAGGCCTCTCCCTATATCGTTCCTGTCCTCCTTGTCCCTCTGGACACTCTCCAGCTTATCCATCTGTTTTCAAACTGCAGTGCCCAGAACTGAACACAATACTTCATCTGAGGTCTGAGGGCAGAGAACAGAGGGTACTATACAGAACATATTAAGTTTGGATTGGATAATTTCTAGGGTACCACCTCCAAATGGTATGTTGCTAAAGCTTCAAGGCTTCTACTGAATGTTAATCTAGCTGCAACAATCGTCTATGAATAGTGGAAAGGACTTGGAATCAAAAGACCTGGGTTCAAATTCACACTCTACTTACTGTGTGATCTTGGGTCAGAACAGAGGAATGGAGATCTCATTCCCCAGCCTAGTTCTCTTGCCTTTAGTGAATTATACATTCAGCAGGAGCTGAGAGCAGCTGAATTAGCAAAGTGAGTCTTGGATGCAGCAGCCTATGATCATAGGATTTTAAAGCAGAAGGCATCTTAGAGGCCATCTAATTTAACTCCCTCATTCATCGATGAGGAAATTGAGGTGCCTGAGGTTAAATAATTTGGACTACAAGTTAGAATACCAGGATTCTAAGTTTGGCTGTTACCTTTTTGACTTCCTGTTTCAAAACCTCTACTTTTCATCTGTAAAATGAGGGGGTTGGACAATGGGCTCTCAAGTCCAGGTTTGACATTAAATGCTTCCGATTTGAATTTGAAGATCTTTGATCCTGTTTTGCAGTTATAATGGAAGGAGCTCTGGATTTGGAGTTAGGGGACTTGGGTTTGAATCCCAATTCTGGCAATTGGCCATATCCCTCCATCTCTCTGATGGTCAGTTTGAGATCTGTAAAAAAGTCCTATGATGGTCTTTCAGAGGAGGGGATGAGTAAAGTCATTATAAAATAGCTGCTGGGCTTTTGTTATTGACAATGACTTTTTTTTTCAGTGAAACAAGATTACTTTTACATTCCAAAGATAGCCTAGAGTGGTCCCCAATCCCAATACCTCTTTCCTGGACTACCCAGGATATTTAGCTTGAGGACTGGTGGAATGGAGGGTAAGGAGGAAGGGGCCAAGTAGACTAAGGACCTGTTGAGGGGACTGAACTGGCTGAGACTGAGGTAATAAATATGTTTCTCTTATGAATCTAGCAAGGAATTCAAGGTGCAAAAGGCCGTGGAATTCCTTCTGGAGCAGGTGAGTTACTCAGTCCCACTTACACTCTAACTCAGGTGTACTGGAGGGCCAGAGAGATTCTCCCTGATTTGTGGTCAGACAACACGGGTTTGAATCCCGGCTCTGCCTCTTATCACGTCTATAAAATCTCAAGGTTGGACTAGATGGTCTTTGAATCCCTTCATCTAAATCAATGAGAGGACGGGTATGTAGGCGGAGGGGGGAGAATAAGAAAATGAGGGACTCCAGGGATATGGGAGAAAAGGAGGTCAGGCCTGTCAACTAGCCCAGGTTCATAACATTTGCTAACAGACACAGAAAGGGAAGAGATACAGAGACAAGAGACATTGACAGAGACAGAGGGAGAGCCAGACAGAGAGGAAAGATGGGGGGAGGGAGGAGAGAAGAGGGGCTCCCCCAAAACTAAGCAGGAGGAGATCACGTGCCTCCTACCCACAGTTGCTCTCCAGCTAAGAAGGGGGAGGGGAGAGGTCTCGTGCAGCCGCTCCTGCATAACCCAGGTTCCCGCCCCCTCCTCCCTATTTGAAGGAGGGGAGCTAAAGGAAAAAGAGGAGACGGTGGAGGGGGAAGGAAAGCGGGGAGGAAATGGAGTAGGGGGGAGGATAGGGGAAGGTGGAGAGAGGAGAAAGAAAGGAAAAGGGGGAAGGAGAAGAAGGGAGGCAGGAAGGAAAGAGGGGAGGTTAGGAAGAGGAGGGGAGGAGGAGCAGGTAGGAAGATGTGAGAAAGGATAGAGAAGGGGAGAGGAAAAAAAACAGAGGGGAGGAGCGGGAGGGGGAAAAGAAGAAAGGGAGAGAAAGAGACTGGGAAGCAAAAGGAGGGAGGAGAGAAGGGCGGGGTGGGGGAGGGGTGGTGGCCGCCTCCAGCTTCACTTCGAGGCTGGCGGGAAAGGAAACCTAGAGGGTGGGGCAGGTAGGGGCAGTTCGACCCTGTCCCCCCCCACCACGCGCGCAGTGGCAGCAAACGGCGGGTGAGAACGTGCGCGTGCCCGGCTGAGCGAGAGCGCGCAGATTCCCGGGCCCATTAACCTTCTCAGGTCGGGGGTGGGGTGGGTGTCATGGCGTCTAATTGTGAACCTCGGTGACTCTCCTAGCCACGGCACCGTCCGTGACGCCTTTTCTACACAGTTGCTAGGGCAGTGGCAGGGGTTGGACCAGTTTGCCAGCGAAGGTGAAGGGTGGGGGATGGGGATGAGCGCGATCTCGAGCTTCCCTCTTCCCCAGCCCAGCCCCTCCCCTGGCCTCGCCCCTCTCTGGCCCTACCCCTCCCAGGCCTAGTTCCTCGTCGGCCCCGCCCCTGCGCCTTCCCGCGCACATGCGCCCTGGGGCCCCAGGGTGTGTGGGAGGCTGGGAAGGGGAAGAGTCCCGCGTTGCAGCTGGGCCTGCCTCCTCAGACCGGTGCCGGGGGGTCCACCGCGGTAAGAGGCTCGAGAAGTCAGGGCTGGCCTACTTGGACCCCCGCGCTGGGCTGAAGGAGAGGCCGAGGGCGGCCTCTTTCCGTCAGGGCATCTCGTGCAACCCCTTCCTACAAATGGGGAAACTGAGGGCCCAGATGGGAGGGGGTGGTGGTCTGTCGACCGGAACATCCTACCGATCCGGCCCCCTCATTTTGAAGATGAGAAAACTGAAGCCGAGAGAGGGGAAAATGATCTGAGGTTGCTTTGTGTTAAACAGTTGAAGGAAGTGAAAGAAATTGTCAAAGTGGGAGGCCCCAGCTTCCTTTTGCTGGGAAGATGGGGTTCGGAATAACTGATCTTAAAAGTTCCTGTTGTAGGAATTGGGGGATGGGGGCAGAAAATACTTCAGTTCGTTCAAGCACTCGAAAAGTAACTTGCTGTAAACATTTCCCTCCCCAGACTTCGGTGCTGGAAACTGTAAACGTGTGTTTGTTTCGTACCTTACAACTTCCCCCCCTTTTTTTTTCTTAAAGAAAAAGAGTTGTTTCATTTCCAGGCTAACCACAGCCAGGATTTCATGCAGACAATGAACAAACTTCAGTTGAGAAAGTCTTGGTGAGATCCCAGTTAACGTGCCTTATTTATATTTGCTATTTATTAACATGTTAGCCCTTAATCGTAGAAGACTAATAAAACCTTCGTGGATTCACTGGTCGGTTTCGCAGTGCTAGCCTTCACACTGGAGGTATTTTATTCAGAAGCCAGATCTCGCTTTTTTTTTTCTCTTTTAAATAAGACAACACCTATCTAGGTATCAAAAATTAGTTTGCTTTTCTAGTGTTAGCTTTTGTATTGACTATCTCAGTATAATTATCACAGAATTGATTATCCAATTGAACCAACCTTTGCCCTTGGCTAGTATGTCATCATTAAACCGGTGACAAAAAGACTTTACAGCTTTCCTGTCACTTTTGTTGCAGGTTGCATCCTCAGACCTTGAAGTAGTTAAACCCTACTTTCCACGTGCATTTTCATCATGATGGATACTCAGTATGTCCTCTGCAGATGGAAAGAGCGTTTATGGCCAGCAAAGGTGACAAGCTGTTCCTGTTTTCATAATTTCAAGAATTAACGATGACTTTTTGGTGACACTTAATGTCTCCATCAGGTGTTAAAAAGGGTGCTTAAGATTCAGTCTAGCAAAATGATTGAGCTGTACAGTTTGTCTCCATGAAAACGTTGGCATAAAGTTCTTATTGGTAAAGTTGTCCCAAACAGCTTCAGGGCACCATTCCAAAATCTTGCATTTTGCATACATTTTTAAGTGAACTGAAACAGCTGTGTGAAGGCTCTATGAGTTAGGATTATAATTCATGAGGAATTAGCCTTAAATATTATCTCGGGGACAGGAAGATTTTTTTTTTCCTTCTTGCTGTTTTTTATTTCACGTGACCTTACCATAATCTCTGTTTTTGGGAGCTGTTTATCTTCTCAGAAAGAGACTGATAACAATTGCTTTTTTTTTTTTAACTTAGGTTTTGTCCCAAACTGGAATCTCCAGAAGACAACATATTCAGACAAGGAAAGCAGCCTTTTTAGAAGTTCAAATACTGAGTCTAGATGAAAAGTTAAGTATTGCTTCTTTTCCTACAGGTGTGGCTTTTGTTTAAATCTGATATGCACAAAACCCCCCCAAAAAACAAAAGAAACTGATATCTCTTTTGCTAAGAATCACTAGAGAAAATAGGTATGTTCTGTACAGAAGACCTTTTGTGTCATCCAGTGGAACATCACTGGAGAAATCAAATAAAAATTACCCGTGGATAAAGCTTACCTAAAATAAATGGTCTTGTCAGTTTTGGAAGAAGTATGTTTATTTTCACATCTGTTTTGTCTACTCCTTTGAAAGGTTTAAATCTGTTACAAAATAAGAAACTGCAATTTAATGTTTATAATAAATTTTAGCTTACAGGGCAGCTTAAAATCATCATCTGCTCTTTTTGAATATCTATTAATGGAAAAATGTAATAATGATAGTTAACATTTATATAGTGCTAGTTTATAAAGCACTTTATGTCTATTCTCATTTAAGAAATGAAAATGTCCATATTGGAATGTGGAATGTATTTTATATTTATGGTCAAACAAGGTTATAGGCTGATCCAATAATTTACAAGACTTTAAACAACAAAAATGAAGCCTCATTTTGTCTACAATTTGAGAGCGCTGAAAAGCTGTGTTACTACATCCTGAGGATAAACAGTGTTGCTTCTTATGTATCAAGCTGAGCTGGGCTGCCTTTCCTACTGTGTAAGCTCCCTAGCTTTCCAGCTCAGATTTCCACAGAGGGACATAATTGAATACTGTTAGATTTCATCCAACAGTTGTTTCACAGAAGCATTCTGATACATCGTGTGTTGGGAAGCGTGCTGGATTTAGAGTCAGAGAGCCTGGGTTCACATCCCAGTTTTCTGTTGCTACCTGAGAGACTTTGGGTATGATTATTAACCTCTTAGGGACTTCATATCCTCTGTCATCTGTAAATGAACTATCTGTGAGTGTCCATGATCTTGCTGTAAAGTGGCAAGCCCCTGATGAGCTTCAGCCAATTTCTCATTTATAACTTTATTCTTATGGAACACTTAATTGCTTCCTTCCCTCACCTCTAACCAATTAATAACATTGAGTGGGGTATACCTGTATTTTAGTTTAAAAGGAGGGAACACCAATCCTTTCTTGTAGCTCCTGCTGGGCTATAAACAGATGATTTCTTTGTTAGCATCCTTTTTAGAAAAGGTGATATCACAAACATTCTCTATGGGGAAATTCTAAGTAAGATTTACCTCAGATAAACCAATTAGAATTTATTCCGTTCTGAAGTCAGGATACCTTTTCCTTTGTTTAAAAGGTGGACCAGGAGTAAAGGTCTTTATAGCTCATTAATGCCAGTTTCTGGCATTTAATTTAAATTTAAAGAGGTGTGTGTATGTGTGGGTGAATTTTGATTATAGGAAGAACTTATATTTTCATTTTCTCTCATCTATGCCCCACCCACACAAACACAACAGTTATTATTTGAAAATGTTCTTGTGGTTGTAGTAGGTAACACATGACTTTTTGTCTCGGCAGAATTAAAGTGAAGAAGACAGAAACCAAGATTCTACAGCAGTCACAGATAGAAGAGATTGCTGCAGAATTTAGTAAGAGGCTATGTTGCTGTAAATGTGTAATCTTAATGAAATAAGAGATTCCTATTTGGAAGAATTGTAAAAATTTGGTGCTGAAAACAAGTTAGTCACCGTCTTGAATTTCCTGAGCTCAGAGGAGAAGAGCCAGGGTCCTTGTCCTAGCCCTTCCTTCCTCCCATGCTTTCTCGTGAAGCCCAGCTTCAACTCTCCTCTAAGGGAGGAGGCTGTTAGTGTGCCCAGTGATCAACCCCTGGGATCTCTGGGGGTGCACATGGTTGTCTCGTTATATGTGTAGTTTTCCTCCTTTTCTCTGCTCAGACTCCAAAAATCTAAGGCAGCTGCTGTGGGCTAAATCTCTCCTGGTCACTGCTCTTCAGGCTGGAGAATCTACCAGTGTTTTTTTAAGTATTTTTTTAAAAATCTCAGGTGAAAGAAACAGCAGCATTAAAGTAACATTCATAATGAAAGTATGTAAATGTTAACAGCATAGTTTCTGAATTTATTAAGGAAAAACTTCTTCATTTACAAAAATAAAAAATCAGTAATAGTGGGATATTTCAACACCTCACTGAATTGTAAGTCAGACAAAAGAAAGAAGTTAGACTCCAGGTTCTTAGTGTTGAAACCAGATTTTATAGACAGAATAATGAGCTGGACGTAAAAGAAAGGAAATGCATGTTTTTCAAAATGCCCATAGGACATTTGTAAAAATTGATTATGTGACTCCTGGTCACAAATCTTGTAGGTTAATTTGGTCAAAAAAATTTAAGCTATATTCATCGATCGTAGTACAAATAAGAAATGGGTCAAAATATGTGGCAAGGAGAACAAAATATGTTGTATAGTCACCAACTTAGTCACTAGCATTGTTTATCAACTATTTGCAGAACAGAGTATTAGGCACTGGGGGTGGTTAAAGAGAAAACCAAGTGTTACCATCCCCCACCCCCATGAGGATTTAACATTCTCGTGGGGTAGAAAGGTCAGATACACTGCGTGAGAACATATACAATAGCAACATGCTTACACAGATGTATCCTGCTTTAAGCAAACCACTTATGAAATCAGAATTTGCACACAGACAAATAAGGGATGATTATTCATTTTAAAAAGGATCCTTTGCTTTGCCAGATCGTTAAGCATTGGGCTTCTTTAAAAAGGAAACTGCCTAGAAAATGGAGTTGTCTACCAAGATTCTGTTTACACATTTTCTATGGCATAGATATACCTGTATATAATAGGTAGTTATGTCTGTCATCACCCCAAAGTATGGTCTCTGAAGGGCTGTAGTGCCCAGCATATTATTGGTAACTTGTATTTCTGGACAATTAAGTATTAAAACGAGGGGGAAATGTTTTGATCAATGTTTAAATCATCTTGTTAGCATAAATAGCACTGTCGGGACTTTAAAAAAAAAACAAAACCACAATCAGTGGGACCACTTCCAAGATTACTATTCTATTTTTTTAAAATGTCTTTAAAAATAGTCTTGGAAAGGACAAAATATTACCTGTCCAAAAAATATTTTTTATCGGTTTGCACAAATATTGAGAATAAATTATCAGCATCCTTTTCTATTCAGTAGGCATTAAATATTTGAACACATTTTGTGGTTATAGGTTGTAGTTTGAAGAAATGTATATTTTTGTCCAAGTCAGGTTAATAATTTCTTTATTTAAAAATAAGGTTTGGGTATGTCAGTTATCTAAACACTTGTGCTCTAATTTTTTTTAATTACATTCAGCCTATAATCTGAATCACCAGTTTCCCTATGCTTGTAAACCATCACTATGTGATGGACATCATCAAAATGTTTATGTTTTCAGCAAAAATGACAGTGTTGATTATTTTACATATTTTTAGCTACTCAAGTTGAAATAAATACTACACCTATTGAAGAACTGATTTATAGGCGATCACTTAGAGTTGCCCTGGATACTTTGAGTGGGAAAGCAGATGCTAGTCAAGTAAACTTTTTGGACAAAAGTCTAACTACTCCCGTCCTTCGAAAAGTGAAACAAACAAGACCTGCACATGCTGTCTCTGAATCTGGCTCGTCACCTTTTGTCTGTGAAGAAATAGTAGGAGGGTCTGGGCCCTTTAAGAAAGAAAATGCACTACAGAGGCTGTCCAGTTCCCCCATTGAAGAAAATAAATTCAAAAAGGGTTTGAAGAGGTCTAACAGAATTTATAGTAAAGAAACAGAGTCCTTGGCTTCTCAAACTGGAAATGTTTTTGGCACTCAAAAGCCACAGCATCGGAATTGTGAGATTTCTAAGGCACGGTCCAGAACTTGGAAAAACCGGAAACAAAAGAAAGATGATTCATCACAAAACTCACAACTGAACCTTAAGAAGAAACCCGAAGTAAAGGATAGTAGGAAAAAAGGCAGGAAGAGACCATGGACCTGGAACAGGAATTCATCACCTTTTAAAGCCAGAGGGTGTAACGGCACAAATACTGAGCTTGAAGAACTCAGTCCACTTTTGTCTAGTAGTTCCATCCAGTTGGTGACTTTGGAAGAAAAGGCAAGTAGTCCTGTCCAAAAAGCATTGGACTTTTCCACCAGCCATTCCTTTGTGGAATCAGAGTGTGAAAATGAACATGGCAAAATGCCTTCACAGAAGTATTGCAAAGTTTTAGGTGGCATTAAACAATCATCGGTTTCTGAATGCCATTGTGTGGAGCCAGGAGGAACAGGGCTGAGCACCAGTGGATTTGACCCAAGCTGTTTTGCACCTAAAATGAGAGCTCTTAAGCTTCCAGATTTTGAGGAAGATGAAGAAGGTAAAAGCTTATGACTGGGGAAGTTTAACTTACATGTGATTTCAAATAGTTTATAATTTCTTTAAGGAGATCTGTACCTGTGGAACAATGTGGGTGGGTATCAGAAACTCTTAGATCCAATCCTCATTCTTAATTGCTAATAACCATTCATTTTAGAAATTGGCACCATTCATTTTGGCCACTAAAAGTGGCCCAGTGTCCATCAGACTGATGGTAAAAGTGGGTTACAATTAAGATTTTTAATTCTTTATTATGTTCTTAGTTCAGTGGGGTATGTTGCTTCTACTTTATAATACAGTATTTTCCCAGTACTCCTTTTTTTGGGGGGGAGGGGGAGGAATAGAGGAACAGTAATAGGGGAAATCATTGATACGATTTAAAAGGGGAGAGGGAAAAGATATCAGGTTTATTGATTATATGCTTTGTGATTAGATGTTATAGTGAATAGTTATTATATTGCATTTATCTTATTTAGAATTGTTCCCTTCCCTTGCCATTGGTGAATGTGACTTTTTTTTTCCATCAACTAAGCATAACAGGGACCTGAGGAATGATTTACCCACTTCTTAAAAGGTGATTATTTTTGAATAGTAGATTCAAAAAGCTTCTTCAGGTATGGGTTGGATTCTGTGATACTGTGACTGCTTGACTTGTTAAGCATCCTAGTCTTGAAGCTAGTTATAACATCTGACTATATGGTTAAATGCTTCAGGAGGAAGAAACATCACGTTTAATAGTCTTGATCTTTGTTGAACTATTTATAGATAGACTAAAATGGGCCTCATTTTTCTCATCCGTAAAATGAAGGGGTTAGACTAGGTGATTTCTGATTATGCTCCTTTCCTGCTCTTATCTTTTGAACCACAGTTTCACAACTAAGACTATACTGTAGACCTATAAAGATATCTAAATTTTCTGCTATGGGCTGTTCTCCAGTATAATGAGGCAGCAGGGTCTGGTAGGGGCAGAGAGGGGAATTGGGAGTCATCAAATCTGAATTTAAATCGACACTCTCCCAGTCCATCTGGGTGAGTCCCATTCTTTTTGTCCCTTTGGGCAAAACCCTTTGGGCTTCCATTTCTCTTCGTTAAAAATAAAGGGGTGTGACTAGGAGATCAAGGTCCCTTCTGGCTCTAAATCCCAAGATCAGGGAAGAGATGATCAGAGGACAGTAAGGAGGCCAGTAGTGTAGAGGTTTTAAGAAGTGGAGATTTTTCATAATAACTTGTGGAATGGAAAACTTTGGCCTGGTACTGGCATTTGGGAGATATTGATCTGGATCATTGGTGTCAAGTTCAAATAGAAATGAGAGCCATGAATCGCTCCATAAGGATCCCTGCAAGCTGCATACTGACTTTTTTTTATGTAATGTTATCTATATTTTTATTGTATTTTTATTTATTTTGTTAGATATTTCCCATTACATTTTAATCTGGCTGGGGCAGCACTAGGGGCCTTGTGTTTCACATCTTTGATCTAGGTAATATACTTCCAAATTGGAGGGATTCCATTTTCATTCATTGCACCATTTTCTGAAGAACAGAGCCACAATATCATGGCCCTACAGTTGAATATTGCTTTATAGGTAAGCCCTTTAGAGCTTGGTATATTACACCTGGAACCATGAGATCATAGATTTAGAAGCAGAAGGGACCTCATAGGTCCTCTAGTCCATTTCTCATGTCATACAGGAGGAAAAATGAAGCCCAGAGCACTTGTGATTTACCCAAGGTCACACAGGTTGAAAGTATCAAAGGTGGAATTTGAAACCAAGTCCTCTGACTTCAGAGTCACATGCTTTTCACTACAGCAAAGAATGCCAGAGATAGTAGGTGGATAAAGTGCACCTAGACCAAAGTTATTTTCTCACATAAATAACTACAGGGTATATCATCCTCCCGTAAGGTCATGCATTGATTTCTGGAAAATAAGACTTTACGTGAAACAAACTCAGGGGACAATTAGTTTTATAGCATAGTGATACTTTCCTGAATGGCCAAAATTCAGACTAGACACTTGAGACAAGTTGAGCCGTGTGGGTTGGGCATAAAATAGACTTTACGAGAGGAGACCTGGTATATGAAGTTATCAAAGGTACCCATGAGATTTATGGCTAGCAGCCAACAGAATTAGGTGGCGGTGACTGACTCGAGGATAGGAAGCAAATAACTAGCACCTTCTTGAAAAAGGAGATGTCTCTTCCTGCCCAGAAATTTCCTCACATTGATTTTAAGATTAGCTAGGATAAAAATTGTCAGATGAGTTTGGACATTGTTTTGGTCAGTCCCCCTTCTCAGAAAATCTGTTTCCCATGTCTGGGGAAGGTTTTTCAGTCTCCCTAGAGGAAAGAACAATGGGAAAAGGGGTACAGCACAGCCAAGTGGAAAGAGCGCTGGCCCTGGAGCCAGGGGACTTGGGTAGAAATACTGCCTCTGACACTTACCTGACACCTCATGGGGCTTCAGTTTCTTCTTCGGTAAAATTTGGTGCTTGAACTTGATGTTCTTTGAGGTCCATTACATGTCAATGTCTGTGGTCCTTTAAAAAGTACTGAGTCCTTGGGTCTTGTGTTGAAGGGAGTGGGTAATTGTTTAGAACTTAAGCCTGAGGAGTTCAGAAACCCAATTCCCCTTTCCCCCTACTTTGAGACTTGGAGTGTCCAGTGACTTTGAATTTGTGGGTGTGGGACTACTAGAGTTTTAAAAACCTCAAGATTTCTTCTGTTTCACCTAGGTGGAACAGCTCATCTGGTACCCTTTTTGTTGTGAATGGGGCTACTACTGATAAAAAACATGGCTCAGTGGTGAAAATACTGACCATCTCTCTGTTATTCTTAGCAATCCAAATGAAGAACAAAGGCTTACATTGGGTCCTCAGACTGAGTTAGATTTGTCTCTAGGAATTAGCTGAAAGGCACTTGGGAAAAACACTGGGGCTGGATATATCTAGAAGTGGGAGTCAGATGGGGTAGTTAGGGTACATGGTGTGGATCGAGCTTGCAGGTAGGGAAGGCCTGAGTTAGAATGTATACTTGTGAAATAATACTGGCAAAGACTTTTTGTTTAAGGTGTGTCTCTCTAGATTATTACTGACTATTGATTTACATGCTGCTGCTTTATCACGAATAGAGCATGCTGGACTGAGGAAGTTCAAATTCCACCTCAGACACTAGATGTGTGACCATGGTCAAGTCGTTTAAGCACTGAGCCTCAGTTTCCTCATTTGCCTTTTAGACATTTTGAACTGGATGTCTTATAGACAATTCATGTCCAAAAGGGAACTCATTATCTTTTCCCCACATCCACCCTACTTGTGAGCATCTGTATCACTGCTGAAGGCACCAGCATCCTTCCAGTGACTTGGATTCACAACATCAGTGTCATCCTCAACTTCTTACTCTCACTCACCCCACAGACCCAGTGAGTTGCTGAATCTTGTCATTTCTTTCTTCACAACATCTTGTACACATGCCCTTTTTTTTCCCAGTCATGTGACCACAACCCTAATTAAAGCCCTCCTCCCCTCTCTCCTGGACTATTAAATAGCCTCCTTTTGATTTCACAGGTATAGGGAACTCCTGAGTGAGAAAACCCCCTCCATCAATGCAGCGTCGGCATCTTCTCTGCAACTTAGAGTCTTAGAAAGTTGCTTAGAACGCTGAAAAGTCAAGTGACTTGCCCAGGATCACAGGCAGGATGTGCCAGAAGAGGAATATGAGTCTAGGTTTTCCTGGCTTTGGGTTCAAATATACACTCTCATTAGTATTTAAGTATTGGCCCATAGTTAGTGTTTAATAGATGCTTGTTGATGCATAGCCTGGTCCTTTCTTACCTTTCCGGGCTGCTTAGCCCATTATTACTCTGTGTGTGCCGTTTGGCCTCCTTGCTGTTCCATATACAATTCAGTGCTTCACCTCCTCTCTCTGTGCTACGTGCTAGCAGTCCCCTCTGCCTAGAATGCCATCGTTATTCACTGTCCGCTCCTGCCTTGGTTTCCTTCAGAACTTAGCCCAAATGCTGCCTCCCTGACGACTCTCCTCTAGTTCCCGCAACTGCTAGTGGGTTCCCCTCCAAGGTTACCTTCTGTTGGATTTGTATGTGTCTAGTGTGTGTGTGTGTGTGTGGACACATATGTGATACAGGTATGTCTATGTGTACATATCTCTTCCATTAGAAAGTGAGCTCATGGAGAATAGAGGCTGTTTCTCTTCTGTACAGACAGAAGTCTTCAGTTCTTAGCACAGTTCTGGGCACATAGTGGCTGCTTATTAAATGTTTATTCATTAAGTGAGTGGGGTAATGACTCCTGTAGCACATACCTTGGCTTGTTGGATTGAGATTTGGTCTCTAACATGCTGGCTGTGGAATCTTGGGTAATTCTCAAAGACGCCATTGTAAGGCATTTTCCTAAATGGGAGTTTCTCCCATAATCAATAAGCAAATTTATACTATGTACTGGACACTAGGCACCCAGAAAAAGCAAGGCCCTCTTTTGAAGGAGGAGGGATAGGGTGCTTTTAATGGTTATCTACAAGTCAAGTACAAGATAACACTTGACAGGACCAGGAAAGACCTCATGTAGACATTGGAGCTTCGGTATTAAAGTAGCACATGGGATTCTAAGAGACAGAGGTAAAGGAGGGGGTCAGTTTTAGGCACGGAGATGGGATGGGAGGGAATAAGCATTTATTAAGTACCTACTTTGTGCTAAGCACTTTGCTTTTATAAATATTATCTCATTGGCTCCTCACTACAACCCTGGGAGGTAGGTGCTACTATCATCCTCATTTTACAAATGAGGAAACTGAATCAGACAGTGACTTTCCCAGGGTTACACAGCTACTAAGTGTCTGAGGCTGGATTTGAACTCAGGTCTTTGGGGGTCCAAGTCCAATGCTGTAGCTGCTTCACTATCTAGCTGCCTTTCGATGGGAGATGGGAGTGTCCCGTATGTGACGATTGGCAAGAAGAGCAGTTTAGCCGCACGGTGGAATGTGGGGCAGTAATGTGTAATAACACCTGACAGGTAGAATGGGGCCAGGTTATAAGGAGCTTAAAATGTCCTGGAGGCTATATAGAAGGAAGCACTGGTGTTTGAGTGTGTGTGCATGGCCTGGAGGAGGGGGTGACTGACATGGTCAGACCTGTGCCTTAGAAAAATTACTTGGCTGGACTTCTGGAGGGCAGACTGAATTGAGAATAAACTTTAGGCAGGGAGGCCTCCTCCAATAAAGAGGTGATGATGACCTGAACTTCTTGGAGTGGAGAGAAAGAAGCATGACAGCATTGGGCAGCTGACTAGATATGTGGAATGATGGAACAGGAAGAGTTGAAGATAGCACCACAGTTATGAACTTGGGTGACTGAGAGGATGGTGGTGCCCTTCATAGCAAGAAGAAAGTTTGAAGAGAGGGGTGGGTTTGAAGGAAAATAGGAGTTTCATTTTTGATGTGTTGAGTTTCAGGTGCCCAGGAGACATTCAGTTCTAAGTATCTACTAGGTAGTTGGTGATGTGGGACTGGCTTGATCTAGAATGGGGGAGTCGCATGCATGGTGTAGATCCAGCAATGCCAATGAAATCACACCCACGTCATCACAGAAATACGTACCTCCCATGGCCGTTGGCAGGCTCAATATCATGTCTAGAAAATCCTTTGCAATTACAAATTTCATTTGTGGTTGTTAGTATTTTAATACCTAAAACTACTTTTTGATGCAGATAAAACTACATACTAGTAAGCCATAGTATGTTGACTTTTTTTTTACTATCATTTACTTTGTTTGAACCTGAAAGTAAAAGTTCACAATATATGTAGAAATTTAAAGTGCAGAAAACACTTTCCCTACAAAATGCATGAAATAGATAATGGAAGTACGATTTTCCTGTCTTAGAGGTGAAGGAAATGAAGCTCAGAGGGAGTAAAGTAATTTGCCAGTGGTCACCTGGCTAGTAAAGTCTGAGGTGGGAGTCTTCTGACTCTCAATTCAGCACATTCCCACAATGTCGTGCTACTGATAGTGCAGTGGAGAAGCTTTCCTCTTTCATGGACAGTCATAGGTCAGCAAATATTTTCTTCTGTGGCACAGTGGATAGTGTCGAACCTGGAAACAGGAAGACTCATCATCTGGCCTCAGACACTAGCTGTGTGACCCTGGCAAGTCACTTCACCCTGTTTGCCTTAGTGTCCTCGTCTGTAAAATGAGCTGGAAGGAAATGGCAAACCACTCCAGTATCTATGCCAAGAAAACCCCACATGGGGTCACGGAGAGTTGGATTGTATTGAAGTGACGCCACAACTGATCTTCAAAATATGTCTTTCAGTATAGCAAAATGAAATTGTAATCTACCTTTATTTGTAGAACTTCAGGCTTCAGAACAGTCATTGGAGTTTAGTACTGTTAATACCACTGTGGTAGACGAAGAGGAAGAAGATGAAGAACTTCCAAGTATACTTTCACACCCTGGTAAGAAATAATTAGATCAGTCGAAAATAAAAGCATGGGAACTTTAAAGTGGGTTGGGTGATGACATAAAACTATTTCTAACACCTTGAACTAAAGGCAAGTGCTTCTTTCTTGTTAACTTGTTCCCTTAGTAGCATCCTGGAATTGTAAAGGATTTTGAAAGGTCATCTCATCATTCACTAAATTTCATACAGATGTGCACTTAGGTTTTCATCTCCTAATAAATGCTAATTTTATTTCTGAGAGTCTCTAAGGAAGAAATTCCACAGTTACCACTGGTAGTCCATTCAGCCCTTGCTCCTAGGATTTTGTTCTTTTTATGTAATTTAAGTCCATTATGCTCCAGCTTACACCCAGAAGAAATCTATCTTCAGTGGGAGAGAAAATGGCTAAAAAAAATTAAAAAAAGGAAAATGGCTAAAAAAAGCCAGACACCCAGAGAGACAGCCCATCAATCCAGGAGGGAATTAAGCAGTTGAGGATATAATCCAGGTCACCAAGCACTAGAAGCAAACAGAACCAAGTTCTCTGAACCATTCATTGATAGTTCCTTGGCTTCATCCACTGACAATAGTTTCATAATTAATTTTATACTTGATTTTCAATTTAAAAACTTTATTGGTATTTGTTTTTCTAGCACCTTTATTTCTGAGTATATCCTTCTCCTTTTTCATCCAGTGAACCATCCCTTCTAACAAAGAATTTTTAAAAAGAGGGAGAAAAAGCAGTTCAGCAAAGCTAGCCAGCCTGTCACCTGAGTTGGACAGTATATGTGGTACTTTACCTCCATAGGGTTCCTCTCATCTCTGCAAAAGGAGGGAGGTGCATTTTTTTATCGCTTCCTTGGGACAGGCTTAATCATTTTCATTACAGAGTATTAGGGTTAATTTTTTGTTCTTTTCATTTACATTGTAGTTTTACCTATTACATTTTAATTGACCTGGAGGAATACTATGTGACATTGACCACTTTAGCTTCCAGTTAAAAAAAAATTTTTTTTAAATCATATCTTGTCCATTTGCACTTGTGTGATACATTTAGACCAATATCTGACAATTTTTCTTGTATTTCTTTATGCTTCAGAGCCATGTTCCATAGAAGCTGGAATGTTAGTCTGGTGTAAACATCAAAAATATCCCTATTGGCCAGCAGTGGTAAGAATAACCATATCTGTCTTTTGAATAAAACTTCATTAATTTGGGCTCCATTCTTCTGAAAATTATGCTAACCTGACCTGGCTTTTGTAAAAGTTTACTTTTGTCATATCTCTATGGATGACTTTATAAGAAAATTGTAAATAGGATTATAGGGAGTCATTTAATTGGTGGAATCTAATCCCAGATTCTTTTTTTGTATTGATTAAAGCAAGCCTAGCAGAATCGTGCTTGCCTTGGAAAAACTTTAACAAAACTGAACCTTATTTAATAGTGCATAATTTCAACTGGATTTTCTCCCAGTTGGTCCCACTTAGCTTTTATATGACATGAGTTGAGTTAATGTGCTCGTTAGTTAATTCATCATCGATCCTAGTTGAATTAAGTATAGAATTAGTATCTTTTACTGTGTGTTTGAACTTCTGCCATTTATTCCCTTTTCTCCTCCTACCCTCAATTGTTTTGGAGCTCATAGTGATTTTCACTATGTCTTCAAATGGTTTTACAATTTTGAAGAGTTGGTTTCAAAGTTTTCTTTCTCCTCTGATCTTTAATCATTCTTTGGAATAATTAAAGCAACTCTGTAGTAAAAATAATTGTAGAATCAGAATTTTAGACCTGCTGTTTTGTTATACTCCTGGATTTCGACATTACTGCAAAGGGCTATGGATAGGTGAAATATTTCGACTCTGAGGAACTAGTCTTCTTACTCTTCTAGGAAGAGCAATGTAAAGCACCCTCTATGAGCCATTTTCCTGTTAAAATGCTACTCTTTTCCTAGAGTGTGCATCTTGGTCAATAAACCTTACTCACTGGACTTTGCATACCTTCATTTATCTCTCTCCCCACCTTTTTTTTTTTCCTCTTTTCGTGTATCTCCTCGATTTATATCATCCTCACTTGATTTTTTTGTCTTCTCAGAAAGATTTAATTTAGCCTTGCTCAGTTTAAGGAGAAACTTCATCACAGCGTAAGACACTGTCTCTGCTGAAAGCTGCTTGCTACCTTGTTCCTTTAAATATACATCAGTACCTTGATTAAGCAAGAACGCAAGAGTAGTACTAGGTTAATTCTTCAAAATAATAAAAATTTATTCCCTAGGAAATTTAGCTCTGTTAGGTGCCAATAAAAAAAATACTTCCCTTGAGACTTTTGTTCCCTGTTGCCAAAAGGACTAAGGGAAAATAGAGAGAGAAGGGAGAAGCCTAAAGTAGCTATAAAGATAGATTATTAAGATTATAACTGATTAATATGGCATGAAATTAGGAAGATTTCAGGGTGTCAAGGCAGTTGTGAAGTAAGTGAAGTTTGTTTTGGGCACTAGGCTCTCTCCTCTCTTCCAGCCTTTTTTCAGCACCCTCCTTTCATGAAGCATCTTATTTTCATCCTTTTTCAATTTACATCATATATATTTTGTTTGTATTTAGTTGTTTTCGTGTTGTCTACCCCTTTAGATTGTAAGCTCCATGACAGTAGGGACTACCTTTTGCTTTTCTTTGTATTGCCAGTGCTTTAGCACAGTAGCTAGCACACAGTAGCTGCTTAATGTGTATTGACTATTGTTTTAGATAGATTGTGACCTTGTTTGATGTGAGCCCTTTCTCCACTGATCTGAATTCATTCAAACCTCATCTTGTGCCGTTTTTTGTCCAAAAATCCTGCATGGTGGAGATTCTGGAGACCTTCCTCTGGCTCTTTTATTATGTGGAGATATTGATGCAAAACTCAGACTCTCCATCTGTGATCCCTTGCTCTTGCTACAGACTAGACCTTTTGCTGGTTTTACAAGTTGCTAGGAATAGGCACCTAGTCCTGGCTTATGATGCCCAAGGTCCCCTCCAGTGAAGGACCGAGAGGCCTGTGCTCCTGGGCAGGCCTCCTTTTCTTACCACAACTTAACTGTATTCCATCTCATTCCCACAAAGTCCTGCTTAAGGACTGGCCAGTTGATGTAATCAGAATGCTTGTGTTAATGGCTAATGTGTTACCCTTAACATTTACATTTATCATCCTTCAGTTCCTTAGCCTGAGGGAATGAGTAGCAGGGGGACTTCCAATAACGTGGGAGGCTAGTTGAAGAAGATATTTTAGAGAGTTAGAGAGCTGTGTTTACTGATACATGAGACCAGCCTTAGGAGTTAAGCTAGGTATATATCTCTTTGTAATTAGGGGAAAAATGTGTAAAACTCCTTTCTTGTATTTCAAATGTATTTTTACTAAATATGTGGATGAGATTATTCTTAATGTAAACAGTGTCTCTTGTCATATTTTCTTTATGTCACATGGTGTTCTATAAAATTTAGTGGGATAATATAGAAAATGCTTGTATACTTTTCTAAAAATAAAAGCATCTTTTTTTTTTCTTGAATTTGTCTACAGGTAAAAAGTATAAAGTGGAAGGATAAGAAAGCAAGTATATTATATATTGAAGAAAATATGAATCCAGAAAAGAAAGGGTAAAAATAATAATGGCTTTTGGAAGCTGTCACCTGAAGGGACATCTTTTGAAAAATCTTGGGATCTTAAATGCTTTCTGTGTGCATGTTGCTGCAGGGATTATACTACTGACTAATAAGAATGGGGTTTGGCCTATGTGTAAAAATCTGGTCATTTGAAGATAAGACTGCAAATGAATTTTTCTAATTTTACAATGGCCAAATGTTCCCCACCTAAGTGTGAAAAACCATTTTGAGCTACTCAAAACCAGCCAAAGTGCCAACACATTTTGAAAGGTATTTGTGATGCAGTGGAGCTGAGCATTGAGTTTAGAAGCAGAAGCTCTTGGTTGGGCTTGGGCACTGTGGTCTGACATCTGGGAGCCCCCTGTTCTCATTTGCATAATGGGTCCACTGACCTTATGCAGCTAATCATGATTCCCATTTAAGATTGGTGAGACCCGTTTCTCTCAGGAGCCAGAAATCACCCAGCTGGTATCTATCCAAACTGAACTTCAGGCTAGGTCCTATACTCTTGGCATCATATTAGTTTGCTTCTTTCATTAATGTGGCTAGAGTAAAAACTTTGTAACACTTGACATCTGTATAAATGTGAGTCCTTGTTGAAAATGAGATAATAGATGTAAAGTGCCTTGCGAACTGGTCTCTATCAATGTCACTTTTGATTATTATTACTCTTAATAATGTGGTTATTTTAACCAACCAGACAACTAAGAAAATAAAGAAAACGGCGAAGCTGTTATAAGTAATTTGTGGGCCATCGCAGCTTTAAAAGCTTTGCTGTGATGCTTCTGTAAGACAGAAAACCCAGATTTATTCTACTGAGCCTCTCAGCTGTCCAACAAGATAGCTCACCTGCTCGGAAGGGAATGTTCTTGCTCTGACTTCAGTAGTACCAGATCAGTAAATAACAAAACCAGAAGTGCTTTCTACTGAAAGAGATAAAGCAAAAAGGTAAATATGTTTTTTAAAAAGCCACAATATAAATGATGTGGAATTTTTATGGTCCATTATTGAGTGGGTAATTACGTTGGCTCCATTTGAGTGAACTTGGTGTTGGGGACCTGCATCTGGTTGGTACTGCCATTAGAGGCTCCTGCCTGTTGATAGTGACTTATGCTGGCACTTTGAAAGCAGGGTTCTTATTCCAAAGGCAGTCTCAATTAAGACCACCAGGTTGGGGGGAGGGTGGGACTTTAGAGTGGAGAAAAAAAGAAAACAGCTTTTGTGAAATAACTGAATGTTATTAAAAAGGACCTCAGACGGTCACGTTAATGGAGAAAAATTCCATTCTGCTCACCTAGTTTGCCTGACAATTCATTCCTGTGACCCTCTCATGCCTTTGTTTCCTCAAGGTTTATAGTGCGTCTTAGAAGATTAAAACACTTTGATTGTGAAGAGAAGCAGGAGCTTATGGTAGGTGGGATAAAGCTTTTATTGTTGGTTCCTTAAAATCCTATTTGTTATAAACATATTGCCTTAAAGATGCAAGTGTAGAAATTGGTCTTTCCGTAGATGGGCTATAACAAGTTTCTGAAGTATATGTGAGACCCCAAGGGTTGCTTTGATGAATTGGGGAGGCTGGCAAGATCCTTTTCCTAGGGTAGCAAGGTGGGTCTTTATTCTTTTAGATCCAGTCAAACCGAATCTGGGCTCCCTCTTCTTATAGATGAGGAAACAGGCTCAGGGAGAATAGACAAGCCCAGGGTCCCACATCTGAGCAGGACCAAGAACCCAGTTGTCTAGACTCTAATGATTTTTCTACTGTACCACTCAAGTCTTTCCCTAGCTAAGCTAAAGATATTAATTTCCCTTACAACTAGCCTTCAGCCCATACTGGTCCATAGTTTCTGTTAACTGATGTCATTTTTGTCATTTTCATTCTGGACCCCTTTCAGATTTGGTAACCTCAGTCAGATCCTCTTTTTCTGATACTGCAATCTTAACTGCCAGATCTCTTTTAAAGGGGCCTGTGCCCATTTACACACACTTGCAATATAGCTTTGTATGCCAGATACACATTCACTTATCAAATACTAGCAGTTCTTGTATTCAGAATTTATTAATTTCTTGGTTTGCGCTCTATTCATGGTTGACACTTCCCCCTCTCCCCTCCATCCTTATTTGTCCTTGAAGATAGACAATTGTGTAGAATGGTCTTCAGTGATCTCCAGGTGTGAGAGTAGGGAGGGAATTAATCTCTTTTCAGATCTGGACTTTTAATAGGTATATAGAAGAGGCCATTCATTTTTATAACATAAAAGTGGCTTCTAAGATAATGGAGCAGTCCTTTGTACTCCAGTGTTTCGTTGTGGCACTGAGGTGACTCTGGGCTATGGTGGGTCCTGACCGTGTGGTGGATCCAGGAAGCCTTTTTCAATTTTGTGTCTTTTATAGGACTAGCCCAGCTAAGTGCAGAGAAGCTTGGCTTAACCACCTAAGGTTAACTAATTGTATTTGGCCAGTGCAACTTGAGAAACCATTTAGGGAGAAGTCTTTGATATGTGTTTCTAGAGAGAGTGCCCACACTAGTAAAAATCTCAGCTCTTGAATATGTAAGTGTTGACTTTATTACTTAAAAATACATCTAGGCACCCACAACTATAGCAGTTTCTTCTCTGTTTTTCTTCCTGTTATTTTATCCTTCCCTGAATCGATTACCCTTTAAGGGAGCACAGTTCTAATTTGGAATAAAGATTCCAAGCCTGCCTTACTTTGTTGTACTTCTAGACAACTTGACCTTACTGTAAACAGCTATGGGTAGAGCAGAGATTTCTATCCTAAAGGACCATGGGAAAATGTTTTCTCATGAGGAACTTTTTCTATGTCTGAGCATAATGATGGAAAGCACCTGCTTAATTTGTTATAACTAATTATCCATTAACATGTAACCTTTTTCCTCAGAATATTCCATTCCATCTCCACTTGGCTGCTGAGCCTCACTAGCTCTACTTTGTATACCTTCATTAATCTAACTTTGTACCACTCTTGTTGGATTTTTTTTTTTGTCTTCTCAAAATATTACCCTTGTTCCAACTCAAACAAGAGGTTCTGGACAGCACTGCACACCGACATTCTGCATTTGTATTTGAATGCTTCTCCCCTTAAAAACTCTTCAGAATAAAGCAATATCTTGACCCAGCAAGAAAATGTGTAAAGCACACTGAACCAATTCTTCACCATAATCAACTATGATATTAAATGGGGGTAAATATTTGGCCATCTGGGTATGCTTAGAAACAGTACTAAACACAGTTTGAAAGTGATGGTATAAAGGATACAGTTGTTTCACACCATCATTATGTTGGAGTATTTGCTTTTTAAATTAATAGGAAGTTAATACTATTATTGGGAATGTTGCTCTTAATCAGTTGCCACTGTTTTACCGTGAGTGTTTAAGATACGTAGTGTCGAGGCTGATTCTTCAAAGTTCCATCTGTTTATTTTTCTAGATCTTTGTGTCTCTGCAGCATACAGTACAATATTCTTCCTCCACACTAAATTCAGTAGGCATTGAACTTTCGTAGGAACAGACTTTGGCAAATGCTTCTAGAAATCCCTACCGTAACGGTTTCCTTTTCTTCAGCCTTGGTGAATTGTCTGCAGCCCAGCTCTTCTCTCTATGGCTCTGGTGTCTGCTACTTAAGGTGCCAGAGCTTAAATGATTAACCCCTTTTTCTTGAGGCTGCAAGCTCTGCTTTTGTCTAGCAACAGCTGCTCAGAAAGATGAGCTTTAATTGTATATAACCTTAAAAGAAAGCTGTCTGAAGTTAGGTGAATTGTGAAAGTAGGCTGTTGATGGAAACGGAAGCTTGAAGAGCAGCTGGGTCAGGCTGGTAATTGATCTCAGTGCACTGGGGCCCTTTACCAAGTTGGGACAAGCAGGGCTGCTGGAGGAGTGTGGGAGGGGGTTAATGTGCCCTTGCAGAGGACTTCTTTCCTTAAAGACTCGAAAAAGCTATTATTTACTGAAGCAGCCTTTACAAGGCATAAGGCTGTGTTTCTGTGTTGGAAGATGAAATTGGAAAGGAACTCCCCAGTTGCTGAATAAGCTTTTCTAGCTTTTCTTCCACTTTTCACTTCATGTATACATATCAAATGTTTATTGTGTTTTATTCAGATACTCAGCCACTTGCGGACTTTATTAATGCTAAACTGATGGATTTTGATTACAGGATAAAGCCAAGGAAGATTATAGTCAGGCTGTTGACTGGTGTATCAAGGTGATTTCTGACTACAGAATTCGAATCGGTAAGCGAGGGAACCCAGTGCTATTAGTAAAATTAAAGAGTATGAAAGCCTTTTAAATTTGTTAATATTAATCCATGAAGAGTAGGACAGAAGGAAGTGAGCTCTGAGGTGTTTTTTAATTCATTTAGTTTAGAGAATTGAGGGTTGTTTAGGAAGGGGGAGATTGTAGAGTTCTTTTTCTTAAAAATGATTAAGAACAAATTAGGTCTTCCTCTCCTCTTGACTGAAGCTGCCTAAAGGCAGGGAATTAAACTTTATGAACCTTCTAGGTTCTATTTTACTTATCTGAGCAGTTTTTCATTTTCTAAAGTCTTGGAAGAGGTATGGGGCCTACTCTCCTCTATCTCCAGGGTAACTGAAATTTTACTATATTGTGAGTTCATGGGCCCCATGACTCGAGGTAAATGGACAGGGATGTGCATTAGTAGCATAAACTCCCATCTGAAAAAAGGGAAGAGTGGGTTTAAACAAAAGGCTAGTTTTTCCTTGAAGTCTTCACAAGGAGGATGTTTGAATCCAAGCTTTGCTCTATCCGTTCACCTCTAGGGAGGCTTACACTTGGAAAAAATACTAAATATTACTTTGACTAGCCCAGACCCAAAATAATAAGTGTTTTCCATTCCTGCTGCCTCATTTAAGGCTGGACAAGGGCTGTCTGGGTCAGTCTTAGAATAGCAAACACCCAAATACCAGGTATTTTGATCTAGAAAAAAATGCTTCCTAAGTGGCTAGCTATTTGTGTGAACAATCCCGTTTTACATTTCTTTTGTACAGGTTGTGGTTCTTTTGCAGGATCTTTCCTGGAATATTACTCTGCTGATATTAGTAAGTACAGCTATGCTTTTCTAATTCTGTCTTTCTTTATCCTTCAAAAACACAGAAGTATTTAATGCCATCCAGTGGACTCTGTTAGAGCGGAAGCAGTCAGCACAGCAGGGGTTCTTGCTGGCTCTCCTGTAGTCTACTCAGGGTAAATTGGCCTCTGGGACCGAGTTTGAATTTGGTGCCCTCAGGGCAGTTTCAAATTCCGCCCAGGTTGGGAGCTTAGAGCAGGGAAGGCTTTACCTCAGTTCCCACAGAAGGCAGCTGCCCAGGGCTGAGGGGGGAGTGCCATCCCCACCATGACTATTTCTGTGTCCCTTGCTCATGGGCCTGAGATAGGAAGCACTCAGTGCACCCCAGTCCTGACACTGTTGAGAGAAAAATCTCTGCTGATAACAGAGTTAATGAAATGTTTCACAATTACACAGATTTAGATTGGGGGCTATATAAAGCATAATTCAATTGCATAAATTTTGTCACTCTAACATACTGATTTGTTGACATCGTTCTTCCTGCCATGAAAGGAGTTAAGATTAATTTATTTGTCTGGGAAGTTGGGGCCTTTCTCCTACTCCCCTGAAGTTAATTTGGCAATGTGAAAAGTATATGGATCCTTCTCACGAAGGATCAGGAATTCTGTCAGAAGAGGAGTTCTTCATTAGATGCAGTGCTTTACTCTCTTAATTGCCTCACTGAAGTTAGCCAGACTCTTCCCTACGGCCGAGAGAATATTTGTTGGACCAGGGCCAGCTGGCTCCAGTTCCTTAAGTGCCCATCCCCCTCTCTAGAGCAAACCGCAGACTGGTGCAAGCTGATTTTGGACTCTGTATTCATGGACAGAGAGAAATCAGTCTCTCTGGTAATTATTCATCCAGAGCTGAGTTCACAAAAAAAACAACAACAAACAAACCCAAAACATTGGACATCCTTGGGCAGGAGGGGAGTGGAGTACAGGAATGTGGGAAAAGTGCTAGATTAAATGAAGCAGAGCTTGTAGGAGGCTAGCCCCTTGGCTCATTAGCCAAGAAACCAAGTTCTTGCTGATGTGCAGAGGTCTGGACTCAAGTTTAGCAGCTTTGTATATTGAGTCTTGCTTCGTTGTTGGCAGTGATCCAGCAGTTATTAACTATTTGATTGTGGGCAAGTCACTTAATCTGCAAGCCTCGGTTTCCTCATCTAAATAATGAGACACTACTTGCACTCCATACTTCTCGAAGTAGTTCTAAGCAAAGTCTTGCCTAATCTGAAAGCAGGAAAAGGAATGTGAGTAGTATCTAGTATAGAGGGGACCACCCAACTGTACTGCACTGCATGTAGGAGAAGCAGAATTGGATATTTGGGGGATCCAGTCATGTATCCAGACAGTTCTGAGAGTACCAAGAGTAAAAGCTTGTTGAAACACCCTGCCTGTCTTACATGAAATCTTCCCTTTCTCTGGGAAAATCTAGAATCTTAGTATGTTTTCAAAATCTTGCTTATCCCCTGGGGAAAAAAGTAGAGTTTTGTCGACTGAATGTGTCTTTGTTTTCTGTTGTTTGTTTGTATGGTAAACTATTTTACTTTTAAAGCTGATATACCTTTTAGGTTGTCCAGTGAGGAAAGTAATCCAGCAAGCGCCTGTCAAAACAGTGTTTCCCACCCGGAACATGGAAGATGATACCTCCTTGAACAAGAAGCAGCTTTTCAAGAAAATCCTTCCAGACCGAAGGAGGGCAGCCAGAAACAAGGCCAATGAGAAGTTAGTGGAATACATAGTGAATGAAAAGGGGGCAGAGAAACATCTCTTGGCTATTTTAAAAAGCAGAAAAAAATCCAGCTGGCTGAAAGAATTTTTGAATTCAAGTCAGTACTTGACGTGTATTGAAACATACCTTGAGGATGATGAGCAGTTGGACCTTGTGGTGAAATATTTACAAGGAGTCTATCAAAAAATAGACAGCAAAATGCCGACACTAATAAATGGCGATGGAATAAAATTTATTCTGCATGTTCTTTTGCCTGAAGTAAGTTGCTGACTTTATCAGATTCTGATTTTTTGGCTTGGGGTTCTCCTGCCCATTGGCCCAGCAAGATCCCCACTCCAAGGATTAAGTGATGATTGAGCTGAAGAGTTTAAGTGCTGTACCATTTTGCTCAGCACAGCAGTCTGAAGGTTCTTTATGTAGAAACTGAAATATGTTTGAAAATACATTTTAATTAAGTAGGCACTGCTGAGCTGTCCCTGCAGTCTTACCCAAAAAGCTTATACGTGTAACTTAGAATGCTGGCAGCATGGAACATCTATTTTGGAGATTGTAAATCAGTTTTCTAATCATTAGAACCTGTTTTCTCTCCAGTGCCATCAGAAGTCTTCACCGAGTAATTGGGTTTTCACCATTATATCAAATTTCTTGACCATTTTGCAACTGGAGACTGAATAGATATCCAATTTGTATTTAAAAAGTTTTCTTTAGTGACATAGCAAAGTGAGCCAGGTGTATCTTGTATGTGTTCTTGCTGACCTTTAGATGGGGTAACGTAAGAGTGATATTGTCCTGCATGAGGGAGACGACACTCCGTCTGTCTTTATGCCTAGTGGAATCTCATCTAGAATATTATCGCCAGTTCTGGAAGGAACTGGGAACTGTGTCATACAAAAATTGGTTAAAAAAACTAAGAAATTTGATCTGGAGAAGAGAATACTGTGGGAAATACCTGTCTGCAAGTATTTTTAAGCCATTATGTAAAAAAAAAAAAATTAGACTTGTTCTGCTTGGTTTCATGTGACAGAACCAGGAGCAAAATGTGGGAATCACAGAGAAGCAGATTTCAGTTCACTATGAGGGAAAACTTACTAAAAATTAGTGTGGTCTGAATAGGGATCAGCTGCCTTGGTGTAGTTCCTTATCAGTAGTATTGTTCAGGCCAGATGAGCATTTATCAGAAACGTTCTTGAAGGGATTCCTGCTCGGTAATAGGTTGGACTAGATGACTTCTTAGGTGCCCTTTAACCCTGAGATTCTGGGAATGATCAGAATAATATTATCAGGTACTTCTTAATGTGAATTCTTTATTTAAAGATAAACTAAAAATATCCACAGAAACACTTATGTGTTCATTAAACTAATTACCGAACTTTATCAAAATAACATTTGGGGTACCATTAAGTGTGATGAAGTATTATGGCATTATCTTTTACAGGCAATCATTTATGCTATATCTGCAATTGATGAAATAGACTACCAGACAGCTGAAGAGAAATATAGAAAAGGACCATCTGTGAGCAACAGGTATGAAGCTGGTAACATTTCCACACCATTTAAAAATAGATTTCCAAATTCTTTGTTTCCATCAGTTGTTATAATTTTGTTTTAAATGATCTCTATTTATCTACTCTGTAAAAGCTATGAGCATGCCCCAACAAACATTTCACTTATGATCATTTTGTAACAACCATTTGCCCAGTGGCCCAACGTGAAAATCAGATAGTTGTTATCTGAACTAGTACTTGAAATTTGGCAGCCTTACCTTCCCTAATTGTTGGTTTGTTTCCTGTGTAGTTTATATTGTTGCAAATTATTCCTTCCTCTAATATTTTGAGGCAATTTATTTTGTGAACTTAACCAATTAAGAAGAGCGCAGCGTGGAATAGTAAAGAGAAAGCTGGCCTTTGGAATAAGGAAGACCTGATTTCAAGTTAACCTTAGGCAGTGGTGTTACTGTAGTCCAAATGTCTGATTTCTAGACTGGTTATGTGACTTTGGAAATAAGGATGAATTCACGTTGAGGACCTAAAAGAAAACAAGTCGGGACTAGTAAATACTTGGATCTCCTACCTTTTTGGTTTTCAGGGGGATTAATTTTTCTTGGGGAATCACAAGGTCAAGATTGGAATGGTCCCATTAAGGGTATGCTGGAGCCAGCTCGAGCCAGCCCCTGAGAGCCACTTGTTGAGTGTGAGCTTTTATACTGTGGAAATCAGCACACCCAGAAGTGAAGGCTTGGTTTGTGGTTTTGTTCGTTGTCTAGGCTTAATGTTAATGATGAGAAAGAGAATGTTAATAATGCAGATTAAACTTTAAAATGCTGTGCATATTCCTCTACCCTGGCTTCCCTTCCCCTTGAGAGCCAGTTGTTAAGCTTTTACTAGCCCACCTCTGGCACCGTTGTATATTGGCATATAACAAGCAAACCTTTTGGAACTGGTTGAGCCATGCTTTTGTTTAGTTCCTAATGGTCCAGATCAGCTAGGCAGAATGTTCATTCAAAACATTATGGAAAATTGAGGTGTTTAGTCTTGAATATAAGGTCTAGCTAGTTAATTAGGAGCTAATGGATACAATCACTAATCAAGTCTCCTCTCCAAATATATATACATACATACATACATATATATGTATATACACACACACACACACACACACACACACACATACACATATATATATACACACATATATAAAACACAAGCCAAGTGACAGACTGAAGACAAAAACCTGATTTTGTCAGTCTTAAGTAGAAGCCTTTTTTTTTAACATGTTGAATAGGTAGGTCAGAATCATAGATAATTGGGTTATTGGTCATTTCACAGCACAGACGGCTAGGAAAGAAATGAGTTTGAAATTCTTAAATCATATAGGCATAGCCTTATTGTGTAATTTCTGTAAGTGGATGCATGCTTAGGAATTATGGATGGTTAATCAGCTAAGAGGTCTCACTGCCAAAAAACATTCAGCTATTGCAGTTTTTAGGCCAAGTAGAATTTAGGCAGGCTGAATAACTCTGGGAAACTCTTTTCTTTAAATTAAGAAGACCTGGAGGGGCAGCTAGGTGGTGCAATGGATAGGGCTTCAGCTTTGGAGTCAGGAGGACCTGAGTTCAAATATGGCTTCAGACACTTGACACCTACTAGCTGTGTGACCTTGGGCAAGTCACTTAACCCTGACTACATCACCAAAAAGCAACAAAAAAAAAGATAAAGAAAGAGCTGGATGTTAAACTGCCCCATGGACCTAAATTTGACTTCTTTATGAGACGATTGTTAATTATAATGAAGAATAACAAAAAGTTGGAAGGGAATCTTATCTAAACTCCTCATATTACAGATGAGATTGAGTAACCAACTTCTCCATTTGCTTCAAGTCCTAACATCCTAGATCTCAATATGGAAGGGACCTCAGAGGGAATCTAGTCTTTACTCCCACACATTTGATAGATGATGGAACTGAGGCCTAGGGAGGTTAAGAAACTTGGCCCAGGTCATACTGGTAGTAAGCATCAAGATGACAGTTTCAAAGCCAAGACTTGACCTAGGTCTCCCCTCTCCTCACGAAGACAGCCTGTGGGCTTGTGGGAAAAGCATTGAAGTTGAAGCTGTTCTCCTTCTCTTCCATCTCTAGGTCTGTGTAATCTGTCCTAACCTCAGGCTCCAGCCCCTCACTTCTTGAGCCTTCATTTTCCACATCTATAAAATGAGAGGGTTGGGCTGGGAACCTCCAAGGTCTGTTGTAGTGCTAAAATCCCGAAGCCCTCTTAACTGCACTCCACTGACAGCCTTAGCATTACATTGGCCTGTTCATTTCCTTCTTTCTCTTAGAATCTGTCCCTGAACTGCTTCATCCAGACAATTTTGAAATTTTTTTAGAAATTGTTTCCTCACTTGGCAGGACCTAAACATTCTCAGAAGTTAGGGAGGCATCTTAACATAGTGGATAAAACAGTGAGGTTTGAAGTCAGCAAATGTTCGTGTGAGCGCTGGCTCTGCTACTTGATAGCTTTGGGACTCTGGGTAAGACTGTCAGATTCTAGGCTCCTTGCAGACAGTAGATTGTTTGGATTTTAACTTGAGAGCATCTCTTCCCCAGGGGTTATTAGCTTGAAAGTCTATACTCCTTTGCTGCCTCTGTTTCTTCCTTTATGAAATGGGGATAATAATATTTGCAGTACTTACATGAATCTTAAAAAGTGCGATCGAAATTGTAGTGATTCTTTGTCAGTAACACTTTTTTTTTAAACTTAAACTTTAAATTATGTCTGAAGTAAATATAATGAGTTGCTAAAGTAAAGAAATAGGGAAGAGAATTAATGATTTTTGATATTCAGGTGATGGTTTTATGCCATACATTTGTAATATGTATTAATCTAAGGATATCATGGAGTGAATATACAATAAATTGGTTGTGTTATATATAGTATCATATTATAGATAGATGGATCGTTAGATTGATAACCAAATTTGGTCATTGATCCTGCAATCTAAAATGTATATTAAGAGTTTTATGGTTCCAAAGTACTTTTCATACTTTAAAATCTATCCTTACTACCACCTTGTGAAATAGCTTGATCTTTATTTTGCAAACAAGAAAGTGATTTTGTGAAAGTCACACAGCTGGGAAGTGGCAGAGGAAGAGCTTAGGTCTCTATTTTCTGATTCCAAGCCCTATTTATTTCCTTTGGGGAATGCACTTCATGAAGCAGGAGAAAAACATTTCCAAGGTGTATATATATGCCTTGTTTGTGTAATCATAAACATTATTTCAAGGAGGTTGTTAATCTTAATGAATCATGAGCAAATATTTTAGTAGTTTATGATTCTTTTTTGAAGAGTTTGATTATTTTAAAGATGACACAATTCATAGAGTTTTAAAATAAAATATCCTTTGATATAAAAGAATCCTGATTTAATGTTTATTTCCTTCAGGGAAAGAGAAATGTTTGATAAAGAACTTTTAGAGAAAAAACAAGAAACTTACATTGTTGAAGACTGAACCAACTTTTCGGAAAATGTCTCCAGATGTATCAAAACCATAACAGGAAACCTTTGTATTCTAAGTTGGCTCATAGGTATAGTTAGTAACAGATCTTTCTGTGTAAAATTCTCCTTATATTATAAATATGTTTTGTGGAAATGGGAGCTTTCGAAGTGTTTTTAGTTCTTACTGATTTTGGATATGTCTGTTGTTGATTTGGGAGTATATATCCTTTGGATGTGTTCTATGGCACTGCTTAGGAATTTTCAGGGATTCTTTCCTCAGAAAAGCTGTTTACAAAAGTAGTCAGTAGTGTGCATTTCTATTTTTATAACATACTGCAGACCAGTTTCCTACCCCCATCCTTTTTTTGAAATTTGTAATTGCTGGGTAATAAATGTTTGAAGAGACCAACATATTTTGTAGCATTTCTGGTTACTCTTGTGCTATCCCATTTAGTGTAAATTACACCTTGATTTTTTTTTTTGATATTGAAAGAAATCACTGGTATTAGTCTTAAAGTGTGATTGTTTTTTTAATACAGGTTTTGGATATGTAATTGCATAAACATCAATCTTTTTAAAATATTGCTTTATTGATATTCAATATGTTGGGCTTCCTCATAAATATTTTCCCTGCCCCTACTCTCTTTATATTCATTTTGGGAAGAAATTACCTCCGAGAAGTGAAACCTGAGTCAGAGATGTTTTCTTATTTCTAACAGGATAACCACAATTGTGTGTGCAAGAAAGTATAAGTTGCAATATTATCGTAACTATTTTAAATGGAGCTTTTCCAAGTAATCCATAGTGTGAATGGATCTATGAATGCTTACAAATCATGCATTTTTCAAGAATGTGTGACTGAATGAAATTACATTGATTGTCAACCCTTTTGATAGCCCCAGGCCAGATTCTCTCACTACTTATCTTACCTTCCCATGTGCATCTCCATTTTTTGGCTGTGACTGAATCTTAACCTGGCAAGCCTTGGTCTCAGGCATTGTGACAGCTAGATTTCATTGTATCAGCAGACTGGTTCATTTGACCTGATCATCTTAGTTTGATCCCCACAGGCTTTCTGAGTAATGCATTATAGGAAAGTCAAACACTCCTCTTTAAGATTTATCTAGATCATTTGTTGGGAGATAAGTTGGCATTAGAAACAATTGCATTCTCTCTGAGAACAGCCATCGATGTCTAGACCCTGGAAATAAGTAGTCGAATCTTCAGATTCTAATAGGTTTGGGCCATTCAAATTTAGGAAGGACCATCTTATTGGTAACAAAAGACTCAAACTAATGAGTGTTTCAGGCCCAAGTTGATATGAAAGTTTGATTTCTGTGGACTTGAAATGTTAAGAGAAGTTAAATTTATTTTTCAGATTCTTGGTGTGAATATGAATGCTAAAATGTGGTATAAACATGAACTTAGTATAATTTTGTATCCTAGTATGGATGAATTGCACATATTCTTGCTATATATGTGCATGTACATATATTTATGCATATATATGTAAACACATGTATTTGTTATAGTGTATGTGTGTGTGTGTGTGTGTATATGTGTGTATATATATATATATATATATATGAAATTGCTGTGCATATCTTTTTTTTTCCCTTAACAATGATTAGGGAATCTTAAAGATTGTATTTTTGGATTTGGGAGTGGGGTAGGGGGCAGAGAGAAGACTTATCTATTTTCTTAGTCTCAGTATAGCTTTAGAGTCTCGTGTTAATAAGCATATGTGAATATAATTCTAATTGGGCAATTGCACTAAAAATTTGTCACTAAGTTACTGTTTCTTTTTTGAGAGAGGACATAATTTGCACATGCCTGAGTCACACCAAGATCATTATAAGCCAATGATAACTTATATAATGGGCTGTAACCATTTGCAAAGTGAATTTGTAAGTATACAAAATAGAAAGAGAAATGTGAGTTAATTTCTCTTTGCACAACCTAGGGAATATTTGTGCTTGTAAATAGCCTCCTTCCTTAATACCCTTGAGTAAAATCAAAGAAGTCTAAAAAGAAATCCTATTTTTAAGCAATAGAGGCTTTTTTTTATTATTATTATTTCACCTTCCTTTGCCATTTAATCCAAATGAATTGCTTTAAGTATTTTCCATGTTTATAGTTCTACTGAATAAATTCCTGGAATTGGTAAATTCCGAGGTCTGAGAGTCAGCAGCCACTGTCCTTGATCTGTTTGACTTTTCTCTGAATCGTCTCATCAGTCTCTTCCTCAAGCGTAAAGAAGAAATACATTTTCTCCTCACTCTCCATCTTAATATTCCCAGGGAATATGAATCAGTAACTAGTCTGGATACACAGCTGCAGAGCTATTTACAGATCAGAAAGGATCTTGCCTTGCTACTCTCGACAGTGTTTGAAATTGTGTACCACAGCTCATCCATGGACAAATAAAAAAAGGAAGAAATGGGACAAGGGAAGAGAGAGATTTCTTGTATCAGGAGAATAAGCTTTCCGTGTTTCCCACAGTGGTTTTACAGCGTGGGCACTTGTTTTTCTAGCAAAGCTATTGTCCCTCCTCATGGAAGAAGCCTAGACAATTTAACTAATCATTTCTAGTTGAAATTGGTTAGTTCAAAAGCATTTCGCCATGTACTGATAAAAACAACACTGACCTTGGAGGTAGTGCCATCACCATTTTTAATACTGCGCTAAAAATCAAACTGCTTTAGGTAACAAGGTCAAATATGGGTGTGTATGGGTGTTTGTGTGTAAGGAATCTTGTCAGAATGCGAAAAATTCTGGTCATTTTATTCCAAAGTATTTTGATGTGTAACATAAAAAATCTTATACTTGGGAACAGTAGGGACAATTACTTTGCACTTTTTATGTAAAATTAAAAGATAATTGATACAGTTTGTGGGCTTCTTTTGTTAGGGTTGGGGGGGCATACTGGGGGCAGGGGACCAACTGTTGGCATTTTCATTGGGAAGAGTGTCAAAGATCATTGATAGTAGTTGGCATTTATGTAACAATAACTTCACATACATTATCTTCATTTGAACTTCAAGATACTTCAGCTCTATATTGCAAGAAGTATTCCCATTTTATAGATGTGAAGCCAGTAGATGTGTAATTAGGCAAGAAATACGTATTTTCAAGGAAGCTTAATTTTAAGCACACCCGGGTGTGTTTAATGTTTTATAGGTCATTCATAGGAAAACGTATGTGGGCTGGAAGGGATCTCTGAGGCCTTCCAGTCCAAACTCTCATTTTAGAGATGAGGAAATAACCTAGATAGAGAAGCAAGTGATTTGGCCAAGGTTACATAGGTAGCAGGGGGCAGAACTGGCATGGAAGGCCAAACCCACCGATTCCTAATCCTGGGCCTTGCCCACTGAACAGACACTTCGGAAAGCCCCCTGCTAAGACACAAATGACACTGTCGTTGGCATGGAGGAGCCTGCATTTTATGGGGAGACATACATGGAACAATAATTTCAAAATAATTGGTGAGGTGAGGGCACTGGCATCTTGGGGATCAGCACTGGCTTCCTGGTCGAGGTGACTCGTGAGTTGCATCTTGAAGAAGGCGGAGGCGAGGAGCTGGGCATTTCGGGCCAAGCCAGGGCGCTGCGCTGGGGTACTAAGCACGGGGACCACGAGCTGCACAGGTCGGGTGGATGTCAGAGGCACGGGTAGTCAAGCCCAGAAGGTTCATCTGGCCGGAGCCGCACTGGGAAGGACTGGACATGCCGCAGAGGCATGAGGGAGCCCACAGGGGCTGCTTTGCAGTGGTCCAGAACCCAGGGCCCCTGACTGCAAATTCAGGGCTGGCTCCAGGAAACACCCGAGAATCACGCTCAGTTGTACGTACAGCCGCAGCCGCCGAAGTGCAGAACTGGAGGCAGTCAGGGAAGGCTTCTTAGAGGATGGATTTTAAAATGCTAATGTTGCGATCAGTATATAGCCTGCTCCACAAAGTAAAGCCATTGCTCTTAGCAACCCCGTCGGGCAGCCCGGGCAAACCTTCCTATTCCCATCGCACAGGGTGAAGAAACAGCCTGGGAGGGCAGAGTTCACCCGCTTGCGGTGGTCATATTGCCCAGGCAGGGACTTGGATCTTCAAGGTAGATGCTGCCCCCTCCTTGGTGTTTCCACTCGCTTAATAGACGTTGATTAGATTTGTTGGATTGGTGCCCTTCCTGGGACCCTGCCTTTCTCTCTCGGACACCCCCTGAGGTCCCATTCCAACCTGGGTTCCTGGCTAGACTGCAGGAAGCCTAGCTCCGGACTTCGGAGCACTCGGCAGGAGTGAAAGGTTTGGGGTAAGAGCAGCTGAACTCTCCCTTTGAGAAGCCAGGAGTGGTGAATAAAGCTGGGCATTCCAACCCCCGGGGGGTAACGGTCAAAGGATGCCTTGAAGACCTTTACAAGTAAAAGGAGGTCGGTTTAAACGTTGCCGACAGTTAACTCAGACAAACTAAAATTTCTGCCGAAACCCGGGATCGAACCAGGGACCTTTAGATCTTCAGTCTAACGCTCTCCCAACTGAGCTATTTCGGCTGCGAAAAGTGCTTGTTTCACTATCCTCATTCAGTGAAAGCTGACACTTCCGGGCTGCTCCTTTCTTCAACCTCATTTCTGATGAGCGTATTATCAGAGGTTCTAAAAGGAGTTCTCCACCCTCCTCTTTTTTTCCTTAAGTTGAAAGTAGTAAAAACTCAGGGTAGAAACAGATAATTGGAGTAGATAATCTGAAAAGGTCCAAGTCCTTCCCAATTGGGATTTCCGCTTCCCATCTCTGACATTCCATGTTCTAAGGTCCCTCCCAGCTCTGACATCCCGTCATGTTCTCAGAGCCCTTCCAATTTTGATACCCAAGCTTCAAAGATTCCCTTCTAGCTGACATTCTTTATGACTTGTAAGAGCCCTGCCAGCTCTGACATTCTGGGTTCCAGGAGCCCTCCCGGGTCTGATATCCTTTGTTCTAAGGGGCCCTCTTAGATTCTATGCTCCAGCTCCTAAGATTCCTCTCTGAGCTCTGCCATTCCACGACTTCAGAAGGGAATGCTCAGATTTCCAGGGCAGCCACAGTGAGAGGAGCCATGACTGCAGGCTGCAGAGCCCGATTTTTCAGCTCTGTCTCTGTGGCGCAATCGGTTAGCGCGTTCGGCTGTTAACCGAAAGGTTGGTGGTTCGAGCCCACCCAGGGACGTTGTGCCTCCTTTTCATAACTAGGATAAGATTTCCCAGAGGGCCTTGGGCTCCGAACCGAGGACCTCCGGACTGGTTCTTTTTGGGGCAGAATGAGGATTTAAATAGGCTGATGGAGGGAGGGAGTAAGGGCCCGGCCCGGGATGCAAGAGGGAGGCTAAGAGGCATAACATAGGAGACCCATTCCCTAGATTGGTTGAGCGGCCCGTATCACCAGGGCACCCAGGAGCACCCCCTGGGGCAGTCCTGGCGGGCGGCGGGGTTCGCCGAGGCCCGCCGGGGAGGAGGGGCAGGAGGCGGCGGAACTCGGAGTCGCGCGGTTGCGGTGGTCACTTCCAGGAGCCGGACCTCTTCGGGAAGTGCACTCCTCCTCCCCTCCCCCTCTCCACCCTTCCACACTCACGGAACATACACTGAGACACACTTCCGCCGCCCATCCCCTCCAACCCGGAACGGTTAGAGCGGAGGACCCGCGGAGGTCGTCTGAAGGCTGTGTACAACATGGCGGCGGCGCTGGCGGGTGAGCGGAGAGAGAACCCGGGGCTGGGGCATCGGGGGGCGGAAGGGCGGCGAGGACCTTCTCCTGATAGCGTTCGCCGAGGCCGGGCGGGCAACCGTAGATAGCCGCCTACCCCACCCCCAGCCTGGTGGGTTGGCTGATCTCAGCCCTCCAGGCTCCCGGGGGAGGGGAGCGCCGCGGGGGCGGGCCCCCGGGGAGCCGGCGGCGCATGCGCGCGCCCCAGCCTCGACCCTTGCTGATCATGGGCCCCTGCCGACCTTGGGAGCGTTTTTCACTCAGTTGTGCCTAGTCTGTGTTTACTGCACTATGTTGGACCCGTAAATGTAAATAGAATTGAATTGTTGTTAAGAATAACAATTGAGGCCTTGAACTCTTGTGAGCGAACCTCCGACCCTTGACCTCTGAGCCTCGACTTACCTGCGCCAGGTGCTTTTCTCCTGGCCAAAAGCGCAGACCCTTTGCTTGGTGCAGCCGGGACGGTGCTAACTGGCCTTTGTCACTTGCTTTAAAGGGAGTGCGTGACTTCAGGAAGAGCCCCGGGTTTGAGTCTTTGCTTCTCATTTTTCAAGGACCTTGAGCGAGGTGGCCGGGAGTAACCACCTCGTAAAGAACTGTATAAACTTTGAAGGGCTGTCATTACCGTTCGTAGCAGCTCGGGGCCTCGCAGTCTGGACGACCTGAGTACAAATTCAACCTCAGACATAGATGCTAGCTGTGTGACCCTGGGAAGGTCAACCTCTCTCTACCTCAGTTTCCCCCTCGGTAAAATAGGGAGAATAATAGCACTTACCTTCCAGGGTGGTTGTGAGGAAAAAATAGTACTTGTAAAACTTGCAAACTTTAGAGCCTTACAATGCCAGCAGAAACAAGCGAAATGATTTGACCTCAGTCAGACAGCTAGTAATTAAGTGTCTTCTTTCTTCCTGACTCCTAGTCCATCCCTCTGTCTCATCCCACAAGACTCGGTGCCCTTCTCCAAACCTGTGAGGTCAATTTGCTCTCTCACATTATGACCCCCAGTTTGCTTTTCTTGTTGCCCATACATTTCTGCCATCGAAATCCTACCTAAACCATCCTATATCTCATTTCTTTTCACTCTTTCCCACCTCTTCCAAAAGAGTGAGTCTGAATATGGTGTTCCTTTTGCAAACTTTTGCTTGGGGAACCAAAGTTTTACTTGGGGAACCAAAGTTTTACTTTATGTCACTTGGTTGCACTTTAAATCAACAATCTTTTATATGATTGCTTTATATTAAGCGTTTTACTGGATTCTAGATACAAAGAAGCAGACAACCTCTCCCTTCCTGGAGTTTATATTCTAACTGGGAAGACAGTATATATAAATTAGAACATACAAGATAAATACAGAGAAGGAGGAGGGTACCATTATTAGGGGATCAGGAAAGGCTTCCTCTAGGAGGTAGCACATGAGCTGAGCCTTGAAGGAAATCCCTTTGCAATTCTGGCCCTGTCCTTGGCTTCCCATAAATCTTCTATAGATCATCTACCTATGTGCTGAAGGCCTTTCTCTAGATCTTTTAACAATTTGGACATGATGATAATTATAATATTGTAATTAGTTTTTGCCCTACTTGCAGTAATTAAATTGGCATGCTATTAATGTTCTTTTTTCTTGTGGTTTCTGCCTGCAGTTCCTCGCCTGGCCCGGTATGGATTATTTAGTTTTCGGTGAGTGCTGTGGTTTCTGATGTTTTACCAAGCGGAACAGTACAGTGTTTTTATGGGAGCAGAAAAAGAATCAGAATTTTAGATATCAAAGAGAATTTGGCAATCCTGTAGTCCAATCTCTTCGTTTTACAGATGAGGAGACTTAAGGTCCTCAGGGATATTACTTGCTTGCCCAGTATTACATCAGAAATTAGTGGCAGTTGTCCTGGCACCAGGAGAGATACAGAGGCAGGAGTGCCCAAGGCGCTTTGAGGGGGTAGGCAAGAAATACCTTTTGGCTGAAATTAATGATAACTATAGGGGAAAAATAGGAGATAAGGCCAGAAAGATAAGTCAGGACCATAAGTATAAAACTCAAAGTTTGTTTTCTAGGCAATGGGAAGCCATTGAAGGTTTTTGAGCAGGACAGTGAACGTTATCAGAGCTGGGCTTTAAGAAGATGTGAACTCAGGCCAGTTATTTCCTCTTGCCTCAGTTTCCTCATCTGCTTAGAGAGGGAGTTAGACTAATTCAAAGAAAGACCCCGTCTCATTTTAAATCTACAGTCCCATGACATCCTGTGACAATTGCAAATTGAATCAGACCATCTATATAGCCTAGGCTAGATGTAGGGAGATGAGCTGAGAGGATAATGAACTGAACTTATTCCTTTGTTCCTTGGTGGGATGTGATATTGAATTTTCTCCTGATTCTTGACTGTTCCTTTGAACAGACCCAGCACAGTCCTGCAGGTTCAGCTGCTCCATCAGAGTTCGGTGACAGATGCAAGCAGGTAAAAGGTAGCTTCTTAGGAGAGGCCTGTTAGTTCTTTCTCTTCTTCTTTTCCAAGAGTTTCCTGTGAGCATCACAGGCTCTTTCCACTGTAGTGCCCCAGGACTGTTGAGAAAGGGAAGATAAGACTCAGTGGGAATTGGATGGGGGAAGGGAATGAAATAGATTTGCATTGAACCATTCATCTCTCCTAGTTCCCCTTATGACCAGAATTATTCATTCACAGGTTCGCTGCGTGTAGTCAGTTCTCTGTCAGAGATCCATGTTGGGATGCTTCATCTGGGGTTGGAGGGCTCTCAGAGTAAAGCCAGAGTTGGGCCGCAAACTGGGTTGGGGGCTTAGGCCACGGATGAAACAAGTGGCCTTGATCTTCCCACTGTCCGCTGATCCCCTCTTTGAAAGTCAGGTTCATGACAGCAATATATGCTGACTTCAGGGGTTCCCCTTTTCTGCAGTGTCTTGATTTAGGATTCTTCCCATTGATGTTGTACATCTCAGTTTGTGTTTGTGTCCTCCTTTCTCAGCCCTGTCCCAGAGGGAAAGAAGAGTGGAGCAATAGTCCCCAAATCCTCCTCACTCCCAAGCAGCAGGGGGGAGTATGTGATCACCAAACTAGATGACCTGATCAACTGGGCCCGGCGGGTAAGTTACCACCAGATCAGTCTTTCTTCCCTAAAGGCCTGAATCTCCACCGTGGGGAAGGCATATGGAAACACGGGGCAGGGGAATCTCCACTTAGACCAGACTTGCAGAGGGAGCCGCCTTCCCCTTGCTTAACTGAGACAGGTATAGTGGATAGAGTGAAGGACTTATGTCAGGAGGACCTGAGTTCCAGCCCAGCCTCAGATATTTACCAGCTGTATGCCTATGGCAAGTCACTGATTTATAACCTCTCTTTGCTTCAATTCCTTCATCTGTGAAATGGGTATTATAAAGTACTGTGCAAGCCAATGTGACTGCAGCTATTATTATATGTCAAATGGAATGTGTGCCCATATTCAGCACAGAGTCCCTGCTTCTTCCATGAAGACAAGTGTGAGAAGCAAGTCATCACTGTCTTTGTCTAATTCATTGAGGAAAATGTACCAGACCAAGCCTAGTTCCCTAGGGCAGTCCACAGGAGACCTCCTGCCATCAAACCATTAGTTTGCCTTTGGGGCTCTTACCATTCAGACCCTTTGAATCTGGCTGTAATAGAGCTTACATCTCTCTATTTTGTCCATAAGAAGAGCATAGAAGACTTTGTCAGATGTTAGCTACGGGGTTCCTTTGAACTGTCAGACTAGTAACCTTGTTAAAAATAAAAAGAAAATATTGTTCATCTGTTCTTGCTGAAGGCATGCGATTCTTGTGATAGCTACTTCCTTGTCTAAATGTTCACTAACCTTCTCTTTAATAACATACATTGGAATTTTTCCAGGAGTTGTAGTCAAGCTTATTGCCCTGTAGTTTGCAGCATCTACTCTCTTCCCTTCTTGGAAACTCGCATATTGCTTCTCTCTAGGCCTATGCTATTTCTCTTGCAGTCTCACAGATGTTGACTTGGGGGACCTCAGAGTCTATTTCAACCCCCTCCTTTCTCCAATGAAGGCACTGACTCCAAGATGTTAAGTGACTTGCCTAAGGTCATACAGGCAGTAAGCTTCAGAGGTGAAATTTGAACCCAGGTCCTCTGAGGGCTCCAAAGTCACCACTCCTCCATGGTGCTGTGTTCTCTGCCTTTCAGACTTGGCAGTGGCTTAGCAATCAGCACTTCCATTCCTTTCGGTACTCTGATGTGTCCTTTGTCTGGGCTGGTGAGTGGAACTCGTCACTTGGCCAGGTCCTTTCTCACTTTCTCCAGGCTTCTTGTGGGTATCTGCCCTCCTCGAAGTCATTCCTGTTCTGTCCTTTTCTGTCCAAGAATCAGTATCTTTTGCAGAGGAAACAGAAGCAAAGCACTGGGTGGTTAATTCTCCCTGCTCTCTCTCTGTTGCTGTTTTTCAGGCTTCCAAGGCCTAGGAGGCTTTTTTGTGGAGGTGTAGCTCAAGCTCCCTCTTCTGTCCTTCCTGAATCTCCCTCCTGGGCTTCCATTGATTGAATCCCTTTGATCCACTTGCACTTGGGGCACTGTAGATGTACTTGGCTCCCCCTCCCCATTTGAGTGTAAGGTCCTTGCACAGATTGTATCATTCTGTGGACTTGTATCCACAGAGCCTGGCACATAGCAGGGCTTAGTAAATGATTGTTGATTGACTGAATGACTGACTGATTGGATCAGATCCATCCAAGTAGCAGCTCTATCCTTTCTTTGTTCCCCTTTTCCCCAATAGTTTTAAAAATAAAACTTGTCTTTTTGTTCTCACCTTTCCTTGACAGTATCAACTCATCTCCACACATTATGCTTTTTTCCTCCTGATGCTATTTTTCCAGGACTGTGCCATGATTTTGTATTCATCCTCTGTTCCCTGCCTTTGTTTCTGTTTTCTGTATGTGACTTTCAAAAATCCAAGTTGACTAATAGAGTTCCTTGGGCCTTCACATTGATCTCTTTAGACAACTACTCCTTTCCTGCCTTATCAGAATGTTTTCTTTGTGTTTTCCACGTTTCGTTTTTCAGACCTTCTCATCCTTCCTTGGCTACCTTTGCCTGTAGCATTTTAATCTGTGCAATCCTCCCTTATCTCTTCTGAGTCCTTTGGAGTCTGTTCTCCCCAGCCTAAGGCACATGTCACATAATGCCCCAGTTTCCTCCTTTACCCCACCTTGTCCAGTGGAGCAGTCACCTCCCTGCAGTGTTCCCAGCATTTCCACCCTCCCACCAATTCTCTGCCTTATTGGAGAGAGCCAGATCCAGGATAGACGTTCTCTGCCTTGGTGCTTCCTCTTTTGGAAGGAAGAAATCAGGCAAGTCGTGAAGATTGTTGGGGGCTCGGAGCTCCCTCGGAGGTTGGGACCGTCGAAAGCCCCATCTGTCCTGGGTGATCCACCAGGGATTCCCTCTCTGTAGAGGGTTCCAGTAAGGCTTCTGTTTCCATCTCAGTTTAGCGTTACCCACGTACTTTCATCGTGCTCCTCTGCTCCGATTCCTAAATTTCCTTGTATGAGTACATCTTATTGCACATAATAATGACCGCTAGCTATAGACTGCACCTCAGAGTTTGTAGAGCTCTCACTATGTGTTAGCTCTGTTGATCCTCTCATCTGGGGAGGTCGAGACCCTTATTATCCTCCTCCTGTAAATGAGGAAACCAAAGGTGAAAGGAGGGTAAGTGACACAAGTGTCTGCAAAGCAGGATTTGAACTTCCTTCTTCCTTACTTCATCCGCAAGATTCTGGGTCTTTATCCAGACCTCTGGAGGTCGAATTCGCTTTCTAGAGCTGTGATCTTTTCTTTGCCTTGCTTGTTGACCAGTACATTCCTGCCACTGAAATCCTACCCAAGCCATCCTGTGTCCCTGTTTCTCTTACTCCATGCCTCCCTACCTCCTCGAGAGAGGTCAAACATGAGCTTCCCTTTACGTACTTTTGCTTGGGGAACCAAAGTTTAACCTTATACCACTTGCTTGTACTTTAAATCACCGGCTGTTTTTTTATGGTTGCTTTATAGTAGTTGACTTGTTCTTTCATCTTTACGGTTGTAGATCTCCAGAAAACGTAAACTCCAGTTTACCTGGCATCTAAGCAACTAGACAATGTCAGTGAGAGAACATTTTTCTGGGCTTGTCTTTTATGAAAGAAAACTAAGTCAGGGCATTTTATTCAGAAATCATCTCCTGGAAGCTGGCATACACCGAATCCCTTACCCACAGCCGCACCTGCGTGGTAAAGTGGAGGAAGCCCTGAGACCTGGCTTCTGATCCCAGATCTTGCCCTGGTGTCTTGTGTGACCTTGAAGAAGTTCCCATTTAGGAACCTCGGGGTCCTCATTCGTAAAATGAGGACCTTGGAGTAGATTCTTTCTGAGGTCTCCTCTAACTCTGATAGTCTGTGAGTCAATGGATTGGTAGTCCTTTTGAATGAAAATGAATGTTCAGAGCTGAAATGAAGATGTATGAGAGGACACTCCCACCCCAGCCCTTTGCTGATGTGCAACTCCTGAAGGGCTGTATTTTCAGACTTCTTCAGTGTGTTGATCAGTAATATTGATTCTTTTTCTCCTTAATTTTTTTGTCTTCAAAAATACCGTTTGTTATGCTGGTTAGCTCTCAGGGAGAGGGAGGATTCGGGGGCGGGGAACTATAGCAATGTTAAAAAAAAAGCGACTTTTTTTTTCTTCTGTTTTGTTTTGTTTCCTCTCTTTTGTGGTTCCTCTTATTCTAATTCTTCCTTACAACGTGACTAATGTGAAAATATGTCTAATAGGAATATATATGTTGAGCCTATGTTAGATTGCACATTGTCTTGGGGAGAGAGGCGGAGAAACATTTAAAACTCAAAAGCTTATGAAAGTGATTGTTGAAAACTAAAAATTCCACTTAACCCCGATTGCTTCACCAAAAAGCAAAAAAAAAAAAAAAAAGCAAAGTAAAAAAAAAAAAGCAAAAGACATGAAAACTTTTTTTTTAAGTGTTCAGAAAATAACTATAAGGACTTTCAGGAGACTTTGTCAGCAAAGGCAGATTCAGTTGTGCTTGCCAGGCTTTGTGATTTAGTGGAAAGAGCAGGGAACTTGGAGTCAGTGGACCTCGCTTTTGCATTCTCCTGCTTCCTGGCTGTGTGACCTTAGCCAGGTCACTTCTTGGGGCCTTTGTTTCGTCATTTGATATATAATGATGTTGGACCTATGAGGTCCCTTCTAGCTCTGTAATCCTTTACTTATTGAAAGTACAATATTTTAGATGGCTTTTTGTAATAAGAAAAATGCTTTTCTGCTTAGCCCTGAGTTAAATTTGAGAATCCAGTTAATCAGAATATCCCTGCACAGTTTTGTTGATCAAGATTTTAGTTTGGCGGCAGCTAGGTGGTGAAGGGGATAGAGCACCATCCCTGGAGTCAGGAGGACCCGAGTTCAAATCCAGCTTCAGATACATAATACTTCCTAGCTGTGTGACTCTGGGCAAGTCACTTAACTCCAATTGCCTCACTTAAAAAAAAGAAAAGATTTTAGTTTGCAGAGAATACTAGTATCTCTTCTTCTTTTAGGTAGAGGCTGTTCCAGAAAGGGGAAAGCCTGCTTTCTTCATGTTTTTTATATGTTCTAGAGTTATACCAGCCTAGAGTGAGAAGGAAATCCAAGGTCTTAACCCAATTCCCAGTCTAATGCAGGAATCCTCTCCGCAGGGAGCCTGTGAAGTCACCTCCTTTTTTTCTTAGTCAGTTGTATCTAACTCTTTGACTCTTTTGGGGGTTTTTGTGACAAAGATACTAGAGTGGTTTACCATTTCCCTCTCCTCATTTGACAGATGAGGAAACTGAGGCAAAGAGGGTTAAATGATTCTCCAGGGTCACACAGCTAGTAGGTGTCTGAGGCTAGATTTGAACTCAGGCCCTCCTGATTCCAGGCCTGGCACTCTGTCTGCTATGCCACCTTCTTTCATATAGCTCTTAATTCTTAGGAATTTCTTTTTAATACTGAGACAAAAATCTTTATCCCTATAAAACTTAAGAGTATGTCTGCTTCCCCCACCCCTGAGTGATCCTAGACCCAGAATATCTAATTCACATGGAAAACAAAATGTGTGTGTCCGTTCTACCACAGTTCTGTGCCTTCATTCCGCCACCTCACCAGTATGTGTGTTACCTGGATTGCCCTACAAGACAGTTCCTGCCTCAGTTAAGGCTGTCATGTAAAACGCAGTGAGTTTTTTCTCTCTTTAGAGTTCCATGTGGCCCATGACCTTTGGGTTGGCATGCTGTGCTGTGGAGATGATGCACATGGCAGCTCCCCGGTACGACATGGACCGGTTTGGAGTGGTGTTCCGGGCCAGCCCACGTCAGTCAGATGTGATGATCGTAGCCGGCACTCTCACCAACAAAATGGCTCCAGCTCTCCGAAAGGTAACTCCCTGCCTCCTTGTCCTCGCCCCTTAATGTTGAGAAAGCCAGAACCAGCTGTCACACCCTGAGAGAGCCCAGGTCCAGCCTTAATGGGGGCAGAGAAGGTTTTTGCTCAGCAAGGAACAAGTCAACTTTACCAAAAGCAGCACAGAGCTACCTGAGGAAGGCTCGACAATTGCCAGCTGGATGTTTCTTACTTTCTGTGGCCTCTGTCAGAAGAATGGGACACCTGAGAATCAAAGAGTTCCATTGAGAAAATTTCAGATTCAGGCCGAGTAACTGATGGTATGACTTGGGCTCCAGCATGGAGTGATATCAGGTTGTAGGTCTGTCAGATAGTGGAATGTAGGAGACTTCCCCAAAGGCAGAGTAGGCTTTAGTGACCCTGCCCAGCCCTCTGCCATGTATCACCCCCTCTGATCCTTAAGGGGGCAATGTCGTGCTAGGCTCTAGTAGCATCTGAAGTTAATTATGCAAGGAAATGACAGTAAGATGGCTGGCTTTGTCTGTGTTCCAGGTATATGACCAGATGCCAGAGCCTCGTTATGTAGTCTCCATGGGAAGGTAGGTGAAGGGTGGATACCTTTTTTTGCATTTCTCTGTGACCAGGGTCTGAATCATGGATGGAACAAAGCAGTGCTACTATTCCAGTAGCAGTGGGGGAATGCAAATGCTCCCCATGAGCCCCGGGTCCCTGTCTTAAGAAGATCCTCTCTCACTGGGGAGTCCAAGAAACACCTGCAGAACGATATCAAAGTGTGAAATGGTGATAGTGGGAGCCTGTGCCGGAAATCAGGGCACCATCAGCTCCACAGCTGTGAATTTCTCCAAAATGAACACCCCAAGAAAGACAAATTAGAAATGGTCCCCAGGGCTGGAGGTGGGAGAGTATGAGGATGTGAAAAATGCAATGTGGAATTAAAAAGATATCCTGAGAAAGTAAGAAGAGAGGCATTGTGGTGTTTTGGATAGGGCACTAGATGATACATGAAGGATAGGGCTGGGGTCAAGAGAGGCTGAGGTTCAAATCCTGCCGTGGTCACTTACTAGCTGTGTTAATGGTAAGTCATTTAAACCTCATGGGTCCTCATTTTTTTATCTGGAGAACAAGAAAAAGAACACTGGGATTACCTCTCTGGTGGGGTTGTTGGGAGGAAAATGCCTTGCAAACCGTCCTAAGCCCCTGTAGATGTGAGACCAGCTGTAAAAATCTCTGCTAGGAAGCGATCCAGGGCAGTGAAAAGCACACGGATGATGCTTCCCATCAGCTGCAGCGCCCAGAGAGGAGCTTTGGTCTGGAGTCACTTCTTTTCCCATCAAAGAAGAGGCTTGTCAGGGAGATTCTCCACAATGATAATAGACGTGGAAAGAACCTCAAACAGTGTTAGATGAAATGAGACTCCCCTTAGGGAAGGAGACACTTCTGAGGGTCATGAGGGTAGAAAATGTGCCAACCAAGCATTCGCTTTATTGGATATCACAAAATTCATGCTGGAAAGAAAGCCCACAGATAGAATAGATCCGTACTGAAACCTTCCAGCTGTGGAGTGAGGGAGCATGGGGTCTAGCAGGAGCTCAGGGAATGGGATCAGAAACCCAGAGTTCACGTCCTAGCTCTCACAATTAGCTGCGTGCGTGACATTGAGCAAATCACTGTTCCTTCTAGGTCTCAGCTCTCCCTCTAGAAAATGATGGTATTGGTGGTCTCTGAGGTTCGATTCAGTAACTGCTGAAAGAATTCAGGTCTTCCTGTGGGCTTGGGCAGAGAAGGCTTTCTGAAGGAACTTAGTGTTGAGATTGGACCAGGGGAATTTGTGAGTGGAGGCAAGTCCTTGGAGAAGAACACCCAAGACAGGCAGATGAAGTCAAAATACGGGAGATTGACAAGATCATAGCATTTGATTAAGCCCTTGTGAACGGCAGCTCCCCTTTGGAGAGACTGAGCACTTTCATGCTCATCAGAAGAGAAAAGCCAGGGGGACAAAAACCCCATTTGCATCATTTTAAGCTCCTATCTCTGTTTCCTGCTCCCTCCTTCTTTGATGCCATCTTGTTGTCCTGGTAACTATCTTCCCTGCTCAAGAAGAATTAATCTTTTCCATCTGACCTTGGATAACAAGGGACAGTGAGTCCAGGGGTCAGCTTGTACTAGTCCCAGCCAACTTTCAAAAACACTGAGAGTTTTGTGTTTGGGTGGGAATTGGCATTGCCAGGGACACCGTGTCCCTGGGCTAGTAGGAGTAACAGAATCAAATGTTGTAGCTGTTCTAGAGAAACTCAAACCACACGTAGAGCCGGGGAAAGAGCTGGGAGAAAATGTGGGGGAGATGTGCTCACTCTGTGCCTTTTTTTTGCTCGACTACTTTTCTTTTTTATAAGGGAGGGTTCAGGTGGGGTGGAGGAAGAAGTGAATAGTGGGTGTGGGGGGGTGTGTGTGTATATATATATCTGTATGTTTATGTGTGTGTGTGTGTGTGTGTGCATCAGAAAATGCACAAGGAGGGTCAGCTAGGTGGCGCAGTGGATAGAGCTCCAGCCTTGGGAGTCAGGAGGACCTGAGTTCAAATGCAGCCTCAGAAGCTTGACACTTAACTAGCTTTGTGACCCTGGGCGAGTCACTTAACCCCGATTGCCTCACCAAAAAGCAAAAAAAAAAATGCACAAGGGCAAGCAAAAAGAAAATGGATGTGGCAGAGGAAGTGATGTTGAGGAAACCAATTTGGCAAAGGGTTCATGTTCAGACCAGGAAATACAATGACAAAGGTCCAGGGGGGCCAGAGTGTGGCGTGAGGACTCTCTTGGCATCTGTTACTTGAGCTTTGTTAAGAATGTGAGCTCCTCGAGCCCTCCCTGGTCCAGTTTGTGCGCTTGTGCCACCAGCATGCTGCCCAGAGCTGGCCACCGGAGAGTAGGCACTGAGTAATGCTCAGTGGATCCCCTGAGTAGCTGCTCCTGGGATATGGCCCAGGAAAGTTAGGGTTCCTTTGAGCTTGAGCAGTTTTCCTCTAGTCACCCATGAAGGCTTCCGTGCCCGGGAGTGAAATTGCCTCCTGGGCAGGTTTAGTTTCTTGGGCATGCTTTTTGTGGGCTGTGGGGCCCTGACATGGGTGAAAACAAACTCAGAAGGGCTAATGGGCAGCATGCGTGGATGCTGGGAGGGTCCTGGGCTTGTTGGAATCACATTCTGCTACTCGTTTGGTGACCGTAGTTGTTACGTATTCGCTCTGTCCTGTTGTTTTTTCAGCTGTAAAATAGCTGTGTGAATGATAATAATCCTTATTGTTGCTAATAATAATAGCAACTATATGACGCATCACAGTTTGCAAAGCACTTTATATAGGTTATTTCATTTAATCTTCAGAAAACAACCCCAAGAGCTGTGTGCTGTTATCTTCCCCACTTCACAGGTGGGGGAAACTGAGGGAGACAGGTAAATGACTTGCTCAGGATCACACAGCTAATAAATGTCTGAGATAGAATTTAAACTTGGGTCTTCCTGACTCTGGCCCTGAACCCACTGGGCCACGTAGCCCATTATACTGGCACTAGCTGCCTCACGGTCATAATGAGCAAAGTTACTACGTACACCTGAAGTGCTCTGGAATTGTGAGGTAATTCTTCTTATTCTTTTTTTTCCTTAACAGTTGTGCTAATGGTGGAGGATATTACCACTACTCGTATTCTGTAGTGAGAGGATGTGACCGCATTGTGCCCGTGGACATCTACGTCCCAGGTAGAGGAGCCCTTCCTTAGCCACCGTGTGGCGGAGCCCAGTTCTGCTGCGCACTGTGTTGTAGCACTCGAAGGAACTTGGAGTTGACCCCAGCTTTTCCCTCACACCACAGTTTTACAGATAGGGAAATTGAGGACCATGGAAGGGAAGTGACCCCCCCCAGGTCATTCAGAAAGCCAGAGGTGAAAGAGTGAGGTCTAATTATGTGAGAGTACAGGTAATGAGCTTAATTATACTGCAATCTTGAGGTATTTCTTGCAGATGGGATGCCTTTGACACATTAAAACCTTCATCATTCGGGGCAGCTAGGTGGTGCAGTGGATAGAGCCCCAGCCCTGAAGTCAGGAGGACCTGAGTTCAAATCTGGCCTCAGACCAAACACTTGACACTTACTAGCTGTGTGACCTTAGGCAAGTCACTTAACCCCGATTGCCTAACAGAAAAACAAAAGAAATAAAAGAAAAAAAAAACCTTCGTAATTCCCCAGCAGAAGCTTCTTCTAACCTGTTTATACGTAGACATAGCAGTGCCTCACTGCCTTGTTACTAAGTTGCCATCTAAGGTCAGGGCACCAAGGTATAGTAGAAGGAGTGGGGAATTTGTAGTTAGGACCTAGGTTCAAATGCTGCCTTTGCTGTTTATCAGCTGTGTGAATTTGGACAGGTCCATCCCCGCCTCTGGCCCTCTGTTTCTTCATCTGTAAAATGATGGCTGGACGAGAGGGTCTCTAAGGACCCTTGCAACTTTAAGTCCTGTGATCCTCTCAGTACATCCCTCCCCTTCTCTGTGCCTAGCTTTCTCTTCTAAGTGAGAAGGTTACTCTGAAGGATTCCGAGTTCCTTTCTAGCTCTCTCATTGGGTGACCAGTACCTGGTCGAGGAAGAGACAAAATCACTGATCCACAGTCCAGTCGAAATCCAGAAAAGAAGCACAAAGAGCTCCTCAGATTGATGTCAGAGAATCCTGGGGCTGAGCCTCAGTGGCTTTCCTCAGAGCAGAGGCCAAAGGCCCCCAGAGAGGCTGCTGCCTCTTACTCTTCACAGAGTTCTGACCATGTGCCCTTGGGTCATCTGAGATGCAGCCTAGAGCAGAGCAGAAGCAGCAAGAGGAGGAGGAAAGGGGCTCGGGGACCTCGGAGCAGCAGGAGAGAGTCAGAAAAGCCATACAAAGAAAGCCTTTCTGTGCGGGGGAGAAATCTGAGGCCCTGGGGCCTCACTTTACAGGCCAGTTCAGTTGATGGTCACTCGTGGAGATGACTTGGAATGTTCAAGAAAATGTTCAACTAAGCTCACTGAGCCATAGATCCTCAGAGCAGGAGGGGCCTTAGCGGAATCCTGGCCAATCCATACCTGAGTAGAAATCCCATCTGGAACATCTGGGCCTGGAAGGGTCCCCCTCCACCTTTGTGGGGAGGTGGTTTCATTCAGACCCCCAACACGAGTCAGTTTCAGCTCTGAAATTCTCCCTGTTAAGGGGCAACAGCCAACCTGTGGGTTTTCTCCCAGGAAAAAGGCATTCTGGTATTCCTGTCCTCTTTCCCAGGAATCACTGGCATAGAATGCCACCAGCTGCTTGGTTCCTTCCAACACTGCTTTAAAAGCATAAGTGACCTTTTAGTGTAAGCCAGTGCATTTGTAGCATTGGTGGGGTGGAAAAGAGCCCTGCTGGACCAGGCTGGCATCAGAAGACTGGCCTGTGCCCTGGTCTAGAAGACAGAATAATCCTCACTATTATTTCCTAGGCCTGTTGGGAAGATTAGAACATATGAAGGTGCTTTGGTGCTATGGATATTGAGGACTGAAAGTCCTGTGGTCCTGTGCTACTACAATAGTATCAGGGCAGCATTTAGGCACAGAGTCCTGCGTTAGTATTTCATGTCCTGGAAACCTCTTCTATCCACCTCACTTAAGGTCCCAATTCCCTTTGCTTGACTTGAGATTCCTTGAGAAGTCTGTAGTCTCTCCCTGACTTAGGGCTGAGCTCTCTTCCGTGCCCAATCCCAGAAACACAGTTCCAGAAAAGACCTTGGAGGGTAGCTGATCCAGCTTGTGTGTGAGCAGGAATCCCTTCCAGCTGGTCAGCCAGCCTTCACCTAAAGACCGCTGGGCAGGAGGGAAATTCCAGCTGTTTTGGGGAGTCATCAGGGTTTCCTGTAAAGAGCAAATTTCAAGTCAGAGGATTTGAATTTGGAACCTGGCTCCACTCCCAATGTATGTGACCCTGGGCAAGTCACACCCTCCCAAGCCTCAGCCCCCTCCTCCTCTTTAAAAGGAGGGACCTCAGGACCCTCAGGACCTGAGGTCCCTTCCAGCTTAGATCCCATGGTCTCTTAGCTCCTTATCCCCTCACTTCCCACCTTCCTCCAGTTTGGACTCTAGAAGTCGTCTTGGATCTTGTGGTGTGACCTCTGTGATCCCTGGCCATTGTAAGTTTTGTCTGTATCCAGAAAGCAGCAGCCTGATTTTACCCAAATTAATCACATGCACAGTTGGCCACAGGGCTGGGTGTCCCAAAAGTCTTAGGGCAGCTGTAAGCTTCAATAGCTGTAATAATACAGTGAGTACCATGATACTAGAATACCTTTAGGGAAGTGCCCAGTGCTCAGGAGAGGCCAGTGTCTGTGTCGGTGCTTCATCCTCCCTTGCCTGGTGACGGGTGGTGTAACTGCATGTGCTGTGTGTCCCTTCAGGCTGCCCACCCACAGCCGAAGCATTGCTGTACGGGATCCTGCAGCTCCAGAAGAAGATCAAACGGGAAAAGAGGCTCAAGGTGTGGTACCGGCGGTGACGACGGGGGGCCGTGTGGCCCTTCCCCCTCCCCCCGCCTCTGTTTGTTTGTGATCTCATGCCATGTAAACGTCAATAAAATACCCACATAACAGATACTGTTGTCTCTGCTTGGCACCCAGGGCAGCCTGGTGTGGTGGATAGAGAGAACTCAGGGCCTGCACTCAGATCCCTTCACTTAACTCCATATGGCCTTAGTTTTCCATCTGTAAAATGAGTGTTGGACTAGATGACGTCTAAGGCTTTGTCCACACACATATAAGCGTGTGCTGAGTCCTAGGGCTTCTAGGACTGGATAGGACTGAGGGCAAGGCCATGAGGTCCGTCTCTTGTTATTAGATCAGTAGCTGAGTTATTTCTGGAAAGCCATCGTGCAAATGCAAACTTTTGGGGACTGGGTGAGGTGGAGGAGGGTTCCACACAAGGCATCCTCAGTGCTGGGGGATCCAGTGTCATCGACATTCACACACAATCCCCACAGTCTACGCACATGAAAGTGTGTGTCCTCCCCGTGGAAAATCCGTAGGCTCTTGATGCCATACTGAAGAGGGTCGCAGGGCGGTCCCCCTGTGTTTGTCAATCAGGCTCAGAATCCTCTGTGATTAATATAGTAGGTGCTCAGTAAATGCTTGTCGGTGATTATGATGGAGAGTTGACTGTCTCAACGTCATTGGCCTGGCCTGGGAGTTAGAATGCCATGGTCCTTGCTGTGACTTCCTTGCTCCAGTCGCCAGATTCCTGTAAGATGAGAGCGGACTGGACAATCTGTAAGGTTTCTTGTAGCGTGGCTGTGTTAGGGTCTGTCTGTCCCCAGAAGGCCCTTCCAGCTCTCATGGTCTGTGGTTCTTTGTGGACTTCAGCCCTCTCCTCACAAACCAAGGCTCATCAGATTGTTTTGTTTTACTCTTGGTAGAAGTGTTTGCATGTTGTCTTAGAGCACAGCAAGGGGGCGGGACCTCTTTTTGCAGATATGCCATGCCCTTCCATGAGTCCTTTTGTAGAGAGGGAAAACCGCTCTTTTTAGAACAGGAAAAGATTCCTCAGGAATGAGGGGATACATTTGGAAGTTCTCCTTTAGCACTGGAGTATGTTAGATCTGGTTTCCCCAGGGGCCCCAGACTGAGAAAGCTTCATGGAAATAACCAAGAGGACTGGGGAGTCGAAAGAGCTGGGTTTGAATCCTTGATCAAGTCCTTCCTCTGCATGCTTCAGACCGATACATGACCCCATGGGTGTGGGGACCCCATTCCCCAGTGTGGCCCATAATCCCTCCATTTATCCTACCTGGCTTTTGCCCATTTCTTCCCATGAATCCTCCTTGAGGTCTTTCCTCTGGTTCTTTTAATAGTCGGGGATACCAGTGACAACAGGCTGGCCCACTTTACTCGGGTCAGGAATATCCTTGAAGTAATTTATGCTGCCCTTCCCACGTATGCCATTATCAGTCAGATATAGCAGCCTGCTGGTGTACACACTGCCCACGTCTCTCCGTTGCCATTTGACATCACGTGTAACTGATTCTTTCAAGATCATGCTGCATTTCATAATTTGTGAACATGTAGCATCACTTGAAGCCTATTGGTGATGAAATAAGGTTTTCCTGAGAAATAAGTCATGCCATTTTGAAAGGAAATTATCCCACCTGATCTCAATTCTAGGCCTAGCTTATAAATATACCAATGGACCAAGTCTGTGGGATACCTAACCCGCTGCCAGGTTATAATCCAGGCCCTGTCTTTCATTGTTACTGCCTGCCTCAGAGTTATTTTGAAGAAAACAGAGATAGGAAAATGAAGACCATCGTATCACTCTCTTTAAACCTCGGCCAGAGTAAGAGGTCAGCTTTTGAAAGAGCCAGCCTACGGGAAGCTCCTGAAGTGACCTCACTGACTACCAATACTGACCACCAACTTGGCATTCAAAGGTTAAGGATGCCAAGGGAGAAAGAGGACCCTGCCAACCTGAGGAGAAACCTAGAGCTCTGTTATAGAAGGCAGGAGATGTGAGCAGGATCTATGATGTGGCCTGAGTAGTGAGGAGTCAGGAGTCCAGACTGCAGGCCTGTTTTTGTGATGCTTCTAGCACCAAGTGCTCTGGGGAGCCTGGGCATGGCAGCCCTGGAGGACTGTGGAAAAGGCCTTATCTTTAAGACAACCAGTGAAAGTTTTGTGTTACTTGTTTGTCTAATTTTTATTAAGCCATCATCTGTTCATGTTTTTACCTTTCTCAGAATACTTTGCAGGTTCCCAGTTTGTAAGCCCTCCACAATTCCCATTTGAGCACGTCCATTAATTTTGCAAATCGTTCTATGCCCTGTCCTCCCTGCAGCCATCTTCCACCCCTTAATACTGGTTTCCCAAGATTATAAATATAAAGTTGTGCTTTGAACAATAACAGCAACAACAAGGCAAAAGTTTATGTTGCAAAATTACAAAGAAGCAAATGTGGTCCCAAAGATAGAAGACATCTCCCTTCCTGGGTGTGGAAAATCACCTATCTTTTCAGATTTTTTTTTTTAGTGTTTTGATGAGTTTAGCTGTTTTTTTTTCCTCTTCTGCACCTTTTTTTTTCTTAAAAAAATTCTTTTTATCTCCAAAAGATTCATGATAGAAAATGCTATCCACATCTAGAGAAACGAACTATGGAGTCTGAATGCAGATCGAAGCATACTATTTTCACTTTTTTTCCCTTCTGTTTTGCTTTGTTTCCTCTTTCTTGTGGTTCCTTCTGTTGGTTCTAGTTCTTCCTTATAACATGACTAATGTGAAAATATGTTTAATAGGAATGTTTATGTAAAGCCCATAGCAGATTGCACATAGTCTTGGGGAAGGGGAGAAAAATTAAAAACTCAAAAACATAAAAATAATTGTTGAAAACTAAAAATAAATTAATAAAAAATTTTAAAAATTTTAAAAAGAAATTGAGGCAAATGGAAAAAAGGTGGGTACAAAAGAGCAGGCTAGAAGGTAGTGTTTTTGAACAAAAGCTGAAAAGAGGTATTTTCTTAAAAAATTCTTTTTCATATGGGATAACGAAGAATTTTGTTGAGTCCTTCAGTCATGTCCAACTCTTCATGACCCCATGGACCATACCACACCAGGCCCTTCTGTCCTCCACTATCTCCCAAAGTCTGTCCAAGCTCATGTTCATTGCTTCCATGACATTATCCATCTCATCCTCTGCTGTCCCCTTTTTCTTTTACCTCCAGTCTTTCCCAACATCAAGGAATAAAAGGGAAAATTTAGGTTGATGTGAAAGCAAAAGACAGCAGCTAAAATATTGTTGTACTTTGCTCAACCACCTTGAGTCTCACTGTCCAGTTAGCTTTTGCAAGGAGTCTGTCACATGGCTGGATGTATCAACGGGCTTACAGTGGGCAGAGTCCTGGTGGTCATTTCTTCAACAAGAGGATTAGGCAATGGGATGGGTTTGAGTAGAGATGGGAAGGACCCAAGCTCAGGGTGGGAAGAATCTTACATCCTTTGGATTAGTTTCCTGCTTGAACTGCCCTCAAAGGCCCATTTGCTTCTTTGTATCCCCGCTGCTCATTTCTCTTTCCCGTTTCTCCTCCCTTCCCTTTCTCATCCATCACACCTTCTCTCTCCATTCTTTTCCCCTAATCTCTCCTATCCCCACATTTCTTCATTCTTCCCTTCCCTAGACACACATACACACACCCCTTGCATCAACAATTCAAGAGTCAGGAAGGAAACCTGGACTCTAGCTGAGGTCAGAATTCCTTTATTATTTGACCAGCAGGCTTTTTGCTACAACTGAGAAGGTGCAGGGCCTTCCCTTTCCCCCAGAGGACCTCTGACACCCCAGCAGAGCACCTGGTCTGAAGAGCACCAAAATCTTAATAAAGGATACAGGGGGGCCTCACAGTATATTAGTTAAAGTTAAGGCTTCCAAATGGACTTAAACAGGGAAACTGAAAGGGAACAAATAGTGTAGTGGAACATGCCTGGGGCCTAGATTCCCTCAGCCTCTTGACCTCAGTTTGGTAGAACACTGGGCAAGAAAGAGACCCGATTTCAGATCCTAGCTCTGTCTTCAGTGACTGTGGACAAGTCACTTCTCAATTTCTTCACCTATAAAGGGATAGGGACTGAACCTCTCGATTAAAGGGAACTCTCCATTGAGGAAACTTCCTCTACCAATGCAGGTCTGCAGCTTAGTCTGAAGGAGACGCCTAGAATAACTAGGTTTCATGACTTAGCCAGAGTTGCAAAAACTAGAACACATCAGAGGTAAGACTTGAACCTGGGTCTTCCTGGCTCCAAGGCCAGCTCTGGCTACTGTCTAGTAAATACAATGCCTCTCTGTCATCTATAAAATGGGGCTACTCTTTGCTCTACCTCTATCTCAAAGGAAAGGTGTTAATCAGTCGACAAACATATTAAGTACTAAGTGTCAGGCACTGTGTTAAGCCCTGAGGATACAAATAAAGATAAAAATATTTTCCCTGCCTGCAAGGGGTGCTATGGGGACCTCAGAGACCATGCAATCTAGTTCAGCTATAACCTGAGCAAGAATCCCATCCCCCACAAGTAGACGTTAACTCTTTGAAGCCCTAGAATGAGGGGGAAACCCATGACATGAGCATTTGGCCCCTGGACTCACTCTTGGATTATCAACACTCTGTCTCAAATGGGGTACAGGCCCCTCAAAGGCAGCGGGCAAGGCTCTGGACTTCTCTGTACTTTTCCAGCACCAAGAAGCACATTATGGGCACTTACTAAACAAGAGGAGGGGCATGTCCTTAAAGCAATTCCTTGCAGAGCTTTTGAATGAGAAATTGCCATTTTGGTAGCCTGATTATTACCTTTGAGGGTAGCCAGTTCCTTACATACACCCATTCTATAGATGAAACAAATAAAGGCCCCAAGTAGCTTACAAGGACTGAGATGGTAGACAAATCAAAAAGCAGAAAAACCCTGAGCCTTGACTTCTAGCACTGGGCTCTGCCCAGAACTTAATGTGTTTGTTGTATTGAAACAGAAGCCTTTTTGCCACTCTTGAGGCCTTGAGTGAGGAGACAGGCCTAGAGAATCCCTCAGTCCCCTGCTTGCTTTCTGCCTCTCTTCCTGTGTCAAGTTCCCTTGTCAAGTCTTGTTGAGAAGTTGGCTGAGATCTACTGAGCAATCCTAGGCTCTAGCCCTGGCAGGCCAGAGAGTCCTTGGTGCCCCCATTCCAGGGTCAGCCTGAAGGAAGAGGAAGCTGGGCGCCCTCAGTGTTTGACGACTGTCGGGGTGATCATCTTGGGGAAGGAGTAGTAGCGGCATTCCTTGGGGGGCACCAGGTCCATCACAGTGGTGCTGATATTCTCCTTCTTGAAACCTGCCTCCACCAGGGCTGGGATCTGGGTCTCCTAAGGGGCAACAGAAAGAAAGGGCCAGGTCATCTGCTGGGAGGTACACTGGAAAAATACATCTGGTGGGCCTCAGGCGGGGGACCTGGGTTTGACTCCTAGCTGTTACCATTTACTCCCTGTGGGATTTGAGACAAGTGGTTTCTCTGCTCTTGACTTCTGGTTCCCTTTCCTAATTGAGCTAAAATGGCGATTGTCTGAGTTAAAGAATCTGGGCTAAAATGTGGGGTCTGCCACTGATGACCTCTAGGATCGTGGACAAGTTTAACTCATCTGGAAGACTTCTAAGGTCTCCTCCAGCTCTAGATGTATGACTCTCTAAGCCCATCCAGGCCCCTAAGAGAAATGAAATCAGGAGGAAAGACTCGCCATGAATCTTTGCTAACGAAAAGGGAGAGCTGTTTGGAGAGGAAGTCCTATATAGCTTTGACGTGGATATTAGAGAAGGTGACATGGTCTCCACGAAGCCATCCTTTGGGGATCAAAACCAGAAAACAATAAAAGTTTGGTTATCTGTTCATCTTTAAGATTTAAAGAATCTATGAATTTGTTGGCACTGGTATCTCAGCACTGACAGAGATCGTAAACCCTCCACATCCTAAATGAATTAATGTGGCTGAAAAGAAAACAAACAAAAAAACCAGTCATCCTTTGCGGGAGTAAGCCTTCCCACTTCTTAGCTAGATGGGTCCCTGAATAACAGACATAACATGGAATAGTGGAAGGGGTGTTGGATTGGAGAACCTGGTTCTGCAACTTACTACCTTGTTGAACATATCTTAGGGCCTTGGTTTCCTCAACTGTCAAAATGAGGGGGAAAGGCTGAACTGAACAACCTAGAAGTTCCCTTCCTTCTCTCAATCTGTGATGCTGACCTGACTCTGACACTTGTAATCTGTATGACCTTGGGTCATTCATTTAACTACTCTAGGCATCAGTTTCCCTATCTGTAAAATGATGGCATTGGACTTGACTTCTAAGATCCTGTCCTACTCTAAATCTATATACCGTGATCTTAGCTAAGCAATAAACCTCCTTGAGGGTCCTCTTCAGCTCTGTTGTCTATAATTGTCAAAGAGAATGATTGGGAAAGTATTCTGTAATCCCGAAAAACAGTAGAGAAATGTGAGCTGTTATTACTGTTGTTCTTATTAGGGAAGGATAAAGGCAAACATCTGCAGCACGCTTGCATCTCTGGAGGCTGCCCCTGAATTCAGAGACTTTACCTTTGTTTCCAGTGGCAGAGCTGGGAGAGCCCTTAGAACACAGGATGTCAGGGCTGGGAGAGTTCTTAGAACACATGATGTCAGAGTTGGGAGGTTTCTTAGAACATATGATATCAGGGCTAGGAGGGACATTAGAACACAGGATGTCAGGGC